CTGGATTCAAGCTATCTTCCTGCCTTAGACTCCTGGGTAGCTAGGACAATAGGTTTGCACCACCACACCTGGCTAATTTTTTAATTTTTTTGTAGAGACAGGGATCTTGCTATGTTGCCCAGGCTGGTCTTGAATTCCTCATCTCAAATGATCCTCCTGCCTCAGCCTCCCAAAGTACTGAAACTAGAGGTGTGAACTACCATGCCCGGCCAGTTTTAAGTTTTAGATTTAGATCTGTGATACATTTTGAGTTAACTTTTGTACATGACATGAGCTATTGATCAGAGTTGTTTTTGTTTGTTTGTTTGTTTTTATTTCTAGAGGTGCTGAAAGTGAGACACCCATTGTACATCTGTTTGTTCCAGCACTATTTGATGAAAAACTCTTTCTTCCCTGAATTGCATTTGGGCCCTTGTTGAAAATGAGTTGTTCATATTTATGTCTGTGAGTCTTTTTCTGGAGTCTCTATTCTGTTTCATTGATCTACTTGTCTGTCATTATGCCAGTAGTAGCACACTGTGTTTACTACTACAACTTTGTTTTTTGAGACAGAGTCTCACCCTGTTGCCCAGGCTAGAGTGAGTGCCATGGCGTCAGCCTAGCTCACAGCAACCTCAAACTCCTGGGCTCAAGCAATCCTCCTGCCTCAGCCTCCCGAGTAGCTGGGACTACAGGCATGCGCCACCATGCCCGGCTAATTTTTTCTATATATGTTAGTTGGCCAATTAATTTATTTCTATTTATAGTAGAGACGGGGTCTTGCTCTTGCTCAGGGTGGTTTCGAACTCCTGACCTTGAGCAATCCGCCTGCCTCGGCCTCCCAGAGTGCTAGGATTACAGGCGTTAGCCACCGCACCCGGCCCCTTCCCACTTTTTATGGACTCCATTTACACCTGTATTAGGCCACATGAAATTGATCTGTAGTTTACTTATGTTCGTTTTATTTATTTTTGTTTTCTCTCTTATTTTCATTTTCAATATTTCCTATTGCTTTGTCTTCAAATTTATTAATCTTTGTACCATAATGTATAAGCTCCTATTAATTCCATTCAGCATATTTTTCTTTTTTAAACTGTTTTAAATTGACATATAATAATTGTACATATTTTAGATAGAGTGATATTTTGATAACATGTGTACAGTGTATAATGAGTGAATCAGAGTAATTAGTGTATTTATCGTCCCAAGCATTTATGGTTTTTGTGTTGGGAGCATTCAAAATCCTCTCTTTTAGCTATTTGAAAATATAGAAAATAAATTGTTATTAACTTTAGTCACACTGTAGGGCCATTCAGTATGTTTTTCATCTCAGATGTCATTTTTATCTCTGGAAGTTTGATTTGCATCCTCTTCATCTTCTATATTTCTATATAACTTTTTCAAGGAATATGGTTGTAATGATTTTTTTTAATGTTTTTGTCTCTAATTCTAACATATGTATGTGTTCCAGCTTGATTTCAATTTGTTCTTTACCCTGTCATGGGTTATGTGTTCCTTTATTATATGCCTGGTAATATTTCATTGGTACCGTACATTATGAATTTTACGGTGTTTGGATGTCAGATATTTCTTATTCTTATAAAATATTCTTGAGCTTTGTTTTAGGATTCAAGTAAGTTATTTAGAAATAGTTTGATCCTTTGGATCTTACTGTTAAAATATTTTAGGTAGGGCTGGAGTAGTGTTCCTTCTAGTTCCTTCCCATTTCAGAGTCAAGACCCTTCTGATTGTCTCTTCCCAGTGCCCTATAAATTATTAGATTTTCCAGTCTGATTAGTGGGAACAGGACCTATTCCTAGACTTGTATAAGTGCTAGGCACTATTTCATTTTAATCGTTTGAGTTGGGTCTTTCCCCAGCCTCTCACAGTTTCCTCACATGTGTAATATGTACTACTAGTCAACTCAAAATCAACTCTGGATCTCTGAGGTTTTCTCCCTGTGTTGCTCTGTCCTCTCTGGTACTTTTCCCTGAGAATTTAGCCACCTATTGCCCCAATGTCTCAGCTCCCTGTCTTTCACTCAGAGTCCACTAGGTTTTTTCACTTGTTTCCCCTCTCTGTATTTACTCAGGAAACACTCAAGATAGTACTTTGGGACATTTATTGGGCTTAACCTCATTTGCTTTCCATCTTTCAGAGATTACTTCATTGCTTGATGTACTGTGTCCTGTAAAACATTGTTTCATATATTCTGTCTGTTTTAGGGGGTTTCAGGCAGGAGTATAAACTCAGTCCTTGTTATTCTATCTTGGCTAGAAACAGATATTGGGGCTAATCTTTGTGTCCTTACCTGTCCTCAATTCATGTATCTCAAACTCATTAAAAGAGCTGTCCCTTCTGAACTTGCTTCGTCCTCATTTTCTTTTGCATATATTAATTGTTTTTGCATTAGAGTGCTTTCCTGATCTAAAATTATTAAATCAAATAGAGTAGGACATAATTAGTCTTCCATGAAATCTGATTTTGAAGGCCTGATTCAGGGTACATTCTATTTGGAAATGAAAAGAAAAGATGGAAGTGTATTATGACACCTTTTGTGTTCATTTAAAATCTAAGCAGTTTAGAAATGAAGCCAATATTTCAGCAGTATCTAATCTTTCAGCTAGAGATGTCTGGTAAAATGCTTTTTCAATTAATCAGTCTGCTTGGTCATTATGCAAACTGAAATTTTAGCGTTTGTCTTAGCAGTAGTTATGCTTACCATCTCCATTAAATTGTTAGCCTCACATTTAGAAAATATGCCTTCTTATAGTTAAAAATGATTAAAACTTAGCAGGCAGAATAATTTGAAGAATTTTCTTTTTAAATATATCGGAACTTTGTTCTACTTAGTTAGTATAGATTCCTTTCTTTTTCCTTCTTTAGAAAATGTGCCAGAAATTTCAGTGTTCCTACTCTGAGGTGTTTTTTTTGTTTTGTTTTGAGACAGAGTCTCACTCTCTTGCCCAGGCAAGAGTGCTGTGGCGTCAACCTCGCTCACAGCAACCTCAAACTCCTGGGCTCAAGCGATCCTCCTGCCTCAGCCTCCCGAGTAGCTGGGACTATAGGCATGAGCCACCATGCCTGGCAAATTTTTTCTGTATATTTTTAATTGACCAATTATAATTTCTTTCTATTTTTTTTTTAGTAGAGATGGGGTCTCGCTCTTGCTCAGGCAGGTTTCGAGCTCCTGACCTTGAGAGTGACCCTCCTGCCTCGGCCTCCCAGAGTGCTAGGATTACAGGCGTGAGCCACCATGCCTGGCCTGAGGTGTTTTTTTTTAAACATAAATGCAGTAGGATCTTTTGATTTGTTCTATTTGAAGAAAAAGATTATGTTCAAGGTTGCAGTTGTTCTCTGATTTTTTTTCACTAGAACAAAGGTGGGAGTAGAATTTTTTTTCTCTGTAGGTTTGTGAGACAAATGACCGGTAAAGGCTGATAGGTTGGTTGCCTTTACTTCCCTAGAAATAACTTTCAGAGCAAATACAAAGTCAGCCCTATTTTCTTTCTAGTCAGTGTTACAGCAAGGTGATAACTGATTTTCATAATGAAAGAAACTACTAAAATAACAAAAAGTGTTACAGCTAATAAACCAACAAAGGAGATGATCCTGAGACAATGAAAGATTTAAAAGTGCTTTCAGAATCACTGAGAAGATTAAATTTTAACTGGTGTGGTTTTACAAAAGGAGAGCAATGTAATATTATGGTGTGGGTACTGTAATGAATCAAAGGCTTAGGTTATAGTGTTATTAGCATGTCCACTAAATACTATGTGATTGAGCAAGTCTTATAGTTTTGAACTTTAATATCCTCATCTGTCATAACTAAATAACATTTAATGGGTAATTGTGTGAGGTACATCGCTCAGTGCTTAATATACTTCATTTAATCCACATATTAACCTTATAAAGTAAATAAGGCAGGGAACCTAAATTTCCAAAATATTAAGTATTGTTCAAAATATCAAGCATGCTATTATAGTGAATTTCCAAATTGCCTTAGGTTTGACTCTCATTTTTCTTATCAATTTTCCCACCTGCAGCATATTCTGATTATTGAAATCCTATCTGTCAGGGCCTGATGTACTAGTGACTAACTCTAATCTGTAGCAGTGTCTTCTCCTTTGAGATCCTACAGCATTTATTATCTATTACTCATTTAGTAGTTATGTATTTGGGATATCTTTAGTAGTTTTATATTTGGAAGTTATGATAACTCTTGAATTATTTAAATTTCTACATGTTCATGTATTACTGCTTCACTTAGATCATAAGCTCTGAGAAAGCCTTTTTCTATTGGCATTTAGCACAGCATTGTACACATAGTACATATAACTTAATTATGTGTGAATGAATTCTGTCAACTAGACTATTTTAATCAGCATTCTGAGTTTTCAATTCTTTTGTAGAAATTCACTGTATATAAGATGTTTTAAAATTTTTAAGTCTATAACTTTATCTACATAGTGTTGTTAGGTTTTTCAGAGAAATGCTTTTCAAAGAAACGTTTTTATCATAATGTTTTGAAAAGAATTCTCAAAGTGAGTTGATTGAAGTTAGCAGGTAGACTTATTTTATTTGGCAGGGAGACCAGTTACTTTGCCTCTTACCTCAGTTTTCCAAGAGTTCCAGCAGCTCTTTCCTTCTCTTTTTCCCCAACTATGAAGGAAATCAAAAGAATATTTGTGTAATATTTAGGCTATCTGGGTGACAGTAGTAAATACCACTATTACTACTACTATTGCATCTATTATTAACTCAAAAGCTAGTTAATATTTCTAAGCTTTAGTTTTCTTATCCATAAAAAACTGAGTTCAATTATGTGATCTTCAAAGACACGTTATTCTAGAACTTATACAACCTACAAGTTTGAGGTAAATTAAATTTCAGAATTGGAAAGTAGCATTTGATTTTTGCACTTTAAGGTATTAGTTTTATTTTAATCAGATTTTTCTTTAAAAGTGTTTTGTGATCTTATGATCTGCTTTTATGCTTAATTTTCTTTTCTAACTTATTAGTACTCCCTCACGTATTGCTAAAGGAGGAGTCGACCACACCAAAATGAGTCTACATGGTGCTAGTGGGGGACACGAGAGATCAAGAGATAGGCGAAGGTCAAGTGACAGATCACGAGATTCATCTCATGAAAGAACAGAGTCTCAACTCACTCCTTGTATCAGAAATGTTACTTCACCAACACGACAGCACCATGTTGGTATGTAAAATCAATTAATCTTCCCAAGAGTTCTTCAAAGCATGGATTTTACCTTTTTAAAGTAGTAATGACATTGAATTGTGCCTAATACTGCAGAGTAAAATTAGCTTTTTATTTCTATTCAGTTGTTTCTATTTTAGCTGAGCTTGGTTCTTGCTGTGAAAAAAACAGCTTCTTAAATGCAATTTAAAGGTGAATTTTATTTTAGTCTAGGACAGTCTTAAGTAATTTGAAAAGCTGTTGAAACTATGATTTTTCAAATTTTTCAAGTTAATTTTTATCTCATATATAGCAGTGGCCTATTTTAAAAATAGTTTGTAGTAAATCATTGATAGGAATCTCATTAATCATGCTAACAAAGAAAGCGAAAACTAGAATAACCACCATGTAGTTATTTATTCTGGTTTTTGACAATATTTTGAATTTAATAATAAAAATAGATAAAAGGTATGAAGTGTTTTACTTTCTTAGCATCCAGCTCAGGTCTTTCTCCTCCTTCCTTCTCATTGCTATGGATGAGCATTATTATACCAGGTGAACATGTTGTTTGACTCTAAACGACCAGTTTGAAGCAGAGATGCCTGAGCATGTGAGCTTGCTAAGTTTCATTTTTCCCTGGAGAATTGACACATTAAGACTTTGACTTACTATGTATATATGAGGTAGTTTCTGATAGTCTGTTGTAAAACAAAATCATTTATATTAGGGTGTAATTATGCAGAAAAGTTGTTCATATCTTAAGTCAGTCCTGGATGTCAGACTAGTATTTATAAGTCTGAAAGAAACAAAAGTATAAATGAGAGCTGACAGTTTGTTAGATGCAAAGTTCAGTGTCTGGGAGTAGAATAGCAGGATATAAAAAATTATTTTATTACTTTAGCAAATTTTGCCTTTGGAATGATACCAACATTTTAGAGACAGGCAATAGAAGGGAGGTGTCAGAATATCTCTGGAGATGTGGCAAACCTAATTATATAATCAGTAATGTTGTACAGAGTGTTCTCAGTAGCCTGAGTCATGGAGGAATTTGGCAAAAGCTGATGAAATGGATGAGATGGAGGTACATTTTTAGGTCACCTTTAAAGTTTAGTGATCTAGCTAGCCTTTAAAAGAAACATCACAAAATATTCATTTTTATTTCTTTTTTTATAGAATATTGGAAAATCTAAAGAAAATTTTCTGAATTTTCACAATATTTTCTACCTATGAAAATTATAGATAATAATTATAAAGCCTGTAAAATTTGTAGCAGTGCTTTTTATTCAACGAACATGAGAATGAAAAGATAGCAGTATATCATTGGCTACTAAAGCCACTTTATTTGGTAGACAGAAATATCATTAAAGAAAGTACTTCTTGCTGTCCTTAGTAAATTTTTTTCTTCCTTTTGGACCTTCCTTTTGTGAGATAAACTGCTGGTTTTAGAATGCCCTTATTAACATAGTGAGATTCCAAAGTTTGTACTTTGTGTTATCAGTATAGTGTTACCCCTTCTAGAATTAGGACTTTGCAAATTGGTATTCTTATTCATCTTTTACTAATTTTCAAACCTTATTTATTTGACTTATGAAAATATTTGGTTCTTTGGATTTCTATATATTTTTAAGTGGAGCAATAACAAAATTTTTCTTAATTTTGATCTTAGTTTGGGTCAACATTAGTCAGCCCTACTTCTTCCTTCCCTTCCTTCCTTTCTTACTTTCTTCCCTTCTGTCTCACTCTGTTGCCAAGGCTAGAGTGCCATGGCGTCAGCCTAGCTCACAGCAACCTCAAACTCCTGGGCTCAAGCGATCCTTCTGCCTCAGCCTCCTGGGTAGCTGGGACCACAGGCACGTGCCACCACGCCTAGCTAAGTTTTTCTATATATTTTTAGTTGGGCAATTAATTTTTTTGTATATTTTTAGTAGAGATAGGTCTCACTCTTGCTCAGGCTGGTTTAAAGTCAACAAATAGAGATTTTTGAAAGCATTTTGATGTTTAGGATTTTATTCCTAGGAGCTAAATTAATGTTTATGATGTTCTGTGAAAATGTTATTTGAAATCAAAATGCAGACATGCTGTGAGTTAAAACTTTTCTAAATCAAACATTTAAAAAGATATATACATATCTCAAATTTTTAAAAGGAAATTTACATAACTTTGTTTAATGTCTTTATTTCAGATCGAGAAAAAGATCACAGTTCCTCTCGTCCAAGCAGTCCTCGTCCTCAAAAAGCATCCCCAAATGGTTCCATTAGCAGTGCTGGGAATAGCAGCAGAAACAGTAGTCAGTCAAGTTCAGATGGTAGCTGTAAGACATCTGGGGAAATGGTGTTTGTATATGAAAATGCAAAAGAAGGAACTCGGAACATAAGAATGTCAGAACGAGTGACACTAATAGTGGATAACACTAGATTTGTTGTAGACCCATCCATTTTTACTGCACAGCCAAATACAATGTTGGGCAGGTTTGTATTATTATAGTTCTTTGTATTACTAATTATAACGCACTTTAACAGCCATTTTTTATTTTTTTAATTTAAATTTTATAGCAATTCTATGTAGGAATGTAGCATTCCTATTTTACAGATGAAAGAACTGAGCTTTGGAAGTTAAATTATTTGTCCAAGTTAATGCAGCTGGAAAGTGGTAGAGCGAAAGCTTGAACTTGGTTTTATTTCTAACTTTCTTTGCAGCACTAGTAGGAATATCAGATATACATTATTTTATTTTATTTTTTTCACTGTAAAATAATTTATTTTTTTTTCCATTTTTTTAAATTTCAGCATATTATGGGGGAACAAATGTTAAGGTTACATATATTGCCCATGCCCCCACTCCCCCTACATTAGGTATTGAGTTAGGATACTAAAAGATTTCTACTGACTGAGATCATAGATTTAATCTAACTAGGTGAATTTAGTGGTGATAATGTTTCCTACACTTGGGTTCCCAGATTCAACCACCAAATATAGAAGGCGTCAACATTATTTGAAGATAAAAAAGAAACCCACCAATTTGGTTAGCATTAAGTCTGCAGTAGTTATTAGTTTGACATAAATACTTAAAAGGAAAAAAAAAAGGAATGTCATTAACAAGTAGTTAGTAGAGTGAAGGAATTTACAGTCATCTTCTGATTTGTGTTGGTCCAAAGTAATAGCTCAATTTAAAGTTTGCAGTCATGGGAACCACAATTTAAGAAGGATATAGATCTGTGATCCCCAAGCCCTGTGCTAAGGACTGGTATTGTTCCATAGCCTGTTGGGAACTGGGCTGCACAGCAGGAGGTGAGCAGTGGGCAGCCAGCGAAGCTTCATCTGTATTTACAGCAGCTCCCCATTGCTGGCATCACTGCATAAGCTCTGCCTCCTGTCAGATCAGCATTGGTGGCATTAGAGTCTCATAGCACAAACCCTACTGTAAAGGGTGTGTGCAAGGGATCTAGGTTGCATGCTCCTTATGAGAATTTAATGCCTTATGATCTGAGGTGGAGCTCAGGCAGTGATGCTAGCAGTGGGGAGCGGCTGTAAATACAGATTATCATTAGCAGAGAGATTTGACTGCACAACAAATGTAATGTGCTTGAATCATCCCGAAACCCTCCCCCACCCCGGTCCGTGAAAACACTGTCTTCCGTGAAACTACTAAAAAGGCTGGAGACCGCTAATATAGATATTATGGACTTGATTTTTCAACATGTTCAAAACTAGGATCAAATACCTTTTAATTATAAAATCAGTATGTTTGTTCATGCTAATATAAAATGAAAAGATATATAAATGAAATAGAAGTTTACAGGAGATAAAAACTTGTGGTATTTTTCTAGATTGCTGATGGGATGTCTGTGTGTGTATGTGATTTGTCATTGTCTCATAATACAGAATAAATGCTTTTATTGCGATACCATATACATTCTGAATAGCTAAATATTTTCCTACAGCGTTGACAGTAGACTTTATATCCATGAGGAAAAAAATACTTGAACTATAGGCTTTTTTGTATTTTTAGTATTGTAGGGGAAGATTATTGATGGAAGTTATTAGGAGGATGACTTGACACTGTTAATAATACTTCATATTTTTATGTACTATTTATAGACACAGTTAAAAAAGTAGATATTTGAAATTTTGCTTTAGTTGTTAGGCTACTTTTTCTTTTAATAAAGGATTGGTCATCTGCAAAGAATAGCTTTTCCGTTTTGTAAAAAGTTTAAATATTTGAGAAAATTGCATGACATTTGATTCCTAAAAAACTGTCTTCTTTTTTTCAATCAGTGAAAGCTTCTTTTCATGTCACTTGACTAAAGCATATCTTTGGGGATGAAAATTAATATTCATGGGAACTGTAAAAAGAAGTTAGCATTCTTTTTGAAACTTTGAAATAAAAAAGCTTTGTTGTTCATAGGTTTTTGTGTAACAACAAACTGTTTGAATTAGGAGACTGTTGAGTAGAATACTTAGTTCACCGTATTTACTTTGGGAATAGTGGTACCATTGAATTCAAAGGTTCAACTGTCTTTGATCGTGATTTTTAAATTTTTTTGAGAGTAGTACATCGACTTTTTCATTGCAAAGGACATATTTTACAAATTGCCTCTCTTCTAAATAATTATTGTTAAAGGGCCAACAACATGACTTGAAAAAAACATAAAAGAGAAATTGCATTTCTCTTATATAAAAATTAATCTTAAGAGCTTTTAATTCATTTTCTTAAGCTTTTCATTTTCCTTTTCTTTATTCCTGTCTATCCCAGCTTTTGATTGCTTGTTTTTCAGTTCTAGGATGCTAGTTAAGATTGGGAAATGTAAAACAACCTGACTTAACTATATCATCTTATTTTTTCCTAGTTTAGCTTGCTGAATGTGCTGCATTATAGCATTAACTTTATAAAAATAGTAGTTTACGGAAAAAGCACAGATAACATGATTTCCCTTTTTCTTTTTTTTCTTTCTGGTAAGATTAGTATTAAAAAAATCACCTTTTCCCCTAGATTGATTGTTATTTTTTTGTTTTTGCTTTTTTTTCTGAGGAGGAGTGATTGGAAAGTTTTTTAGCTTCTGAAATTTGTCATTTAATTTTATTATTGCTTATAAGGAATCTATACTACTGTTCCCTCCCATAAAAACGAAAATATTTTTAATATCCTTTATTTATAATGTTTGGCAGAATAAATTCCTGATAAAAATTCTTAACTAATTTAATGATATAATTTAATGCTTAAATTATAATTCCTTTTTTCTTTTATACATGAAACCGATTTTCACTTTTTACGGAAGTATCATATTGATGTATTTATTTCTCAATTATTTGCTGTCATAGGATGTTTGGATCTGGTCGAGAACATAACTTTACACGTCCCAATGAGAAGGGAGAGTATGAAGTGGCAGAGGGAATTGGTTCCACTGTGTTTCGAGCTATCCTGGTGAGTGTTTCTTATGTGTATTGACTTAATTATAAGAGCCTTTCTTGGTAGGTATTTAGATTGGAAGCGGAGTTCTATTTGGATATCTCTTTAGAAATATGAAAGATATTGTTTTTCCTTAAACACCATTTAATTCACCTTTATCTTAGTACATAAAGATAATATGATAAAAACAAATGAATTTTATGAACTTTGGGAAGATAGGATAGGGAATGATTTATCTCTTAGGTCTGCCTAGGCAGTTCTTTCATATACTTAATAGTAACATTTCTGGAGTCATATTTATTCCTCCTTCAGTCTCTTAAATACAATAAATCATTTTTGCTAATATTTTGTTGCATATAACCAGCAATTTCAAAACTTATGAACATTTAAAAATCAACTCCAAAATGTATTTGTCAGCATCTTTGTTTTTGTTTGTTTTTTGAGACACCATCTTGCTCTGTTGCCCAGGCTAGAGTACAGAGGTGTCATAATAGCTCACTGCAACTTCAAACTCCTGGGCTCAAGTGATCTTTCTGTCTTAGCCTCCCAGGTATCTGGAACTACAGGCATACACCACTACGCCTGGCTAGTTTTTCAATTTTTTGTAGAGTTAGGGTGTTGCTGTGTTGCTCAGGCTGGTCTTAAACTCCTGACCTCAAGCAATCTTCCTGCCTCAAGTGATCCTACTGCCTTGGCCTCCCAAAGTGCTTGTATTATAGGCATGAGCTACTGTGCCTAGCACAGCATCTTTGTTTTAACCCCCTTGGCCCCCACCTTTTTTTTTTTTTTGAGGCTTTAACCTTTTGTTTTGAGGGCTATTTGAATTTATATTATAGACTCCTTACTTGTAATTTCAATTCAGTGATAAAGATTTGGTTTGTAGTGTGTGATAGTTTAAGCCTATTTTAAGTCTTAAAATAAGAGTTTTCTTAAACAGTTTTGAGGGGAAGGAAGATCCTGAGATGGAAGACAGGAAACGTAGTTGATCTTGATCAGGTTGTTAGTACTTGGACAAGTACCAGAAGATGTTTCGCTTCCATTGATGAAATAACTTTAGAAATTATATTACTGGTTACTGTTACTGTGGTTCTAAACCTCAAAAAGCTTGAAACAGGTCTTAATTTGGGGGGGAGTGCTTTTTCATCTGTCCCATTCTTCTATTTAACCCCCTATGGAGTTGACAAGAAGAATTTTTATAACTCAAGTATGGAGTAAGTCATCTGTAATTTTGGGGCCAGCCCCCAACAACCTTTTAAGTAGATTTTGAAAATGATCAGAACGGACTGTTATAAAATGGAAACAGCAAAGGATAGTGCTTAGAAGAATAGTATCGAACTGTGCATCTTGTTTTACATATTTAATACTTGAATATGACTTTGTAATTCTTTACTAGAAACCTTAAATTTTGTTAAATTCTCTAGATAATATTAAAGGTAACTTACAGTGTATCATTCAACTTCCTTACTTTTTAAAATAAGTTTAAAATTTTATGGTCATTGTGTAGAAAAATAACTTGTAGGAGGAAAATACATACTCATTGTTATGATATAGTATAGAGAAGAGAAGAATTAGGTAATGGGAAGACCTGGGTTCTAATCTTACGTCTGCTGTTATAAATGATTGTATGACTGGGTAAGTAAGTCAATGAAACCATTAGGTCTGAATTTTCCTTACAGGTAAAAAGAAAAAGTTGTTAGGTGAACTAGGGTCTCATTTAACTTTTAAATTCCACAATTTAGAAATGTTAGAGTACCACTATTTCTGAAAATGCTACCAACCCAACCTTAATAATAAGTTTTAGCTACCTTATGCTCCAGATGTTTTATCTATTCTTTACTTTTCTTTTTTTCAGGATTACTATAAGACAGGAATAATCCGTTGTCCTGATGGCATATCTATTCCTGAACTGAGAGAAGCATGTGACTATCTTTGTATCTCTTTTGAATATAGTACTATTAAATGTAGAGATCTCAGTAAGTATGATGTTTGTGTGTGAGTGGTTTGTAGAATTATAATCTATTGTAATGAAAAACTTGAAATAGTGCTATTTACTTGGTTAGACTTCAAATATTTGTTTCATTGAATTCTAAAACATTCTAATACCATAAAGATTATTTATGGAAGTTTGCAGAGACATTGATAATCTCTTTGTACAATTTTCCAAATATCTTTTCAACTTTAATAATTTTTTTTACCAACTCTCCTAGACTGTTTTCCTATCCTATATCATTTGTTATCAGTCTTTATCTCCTAGCTTGGGAGCCCTGGCTTTGGTCAAATGTGGTCATTTGGCTTCATTCCTCAGATCACATCATCGAAAAATTTGTAATTTTTTTGTATTACCATGTAAGATAATATTCTGAGAAGTTCAGAGGAAGGGGAAATCATTGTGAGCTATCGGGATTAGGTAAGAGTTCAGTAGAGACAAGTGGCAAAGAATGAATAGGAATGAGGCCAAGTGTGGTGGTTTAAGCCTGTAATCCTAGCACTCTGGGAGGCCGAGGCGGGAGGATCACTCAAGGTCAGGAGTTCTAAACCGGCCTGAGCAAGAGCGAGACCCCCATCTCTACTAAAAATAGAAAGAAATTAATTGGCCAACTAAAAAATATATATGGAAAAAGTTAGCCAGGCATGGTGGCACATGCCTGTAGTCCCAGCTACTTGGGAGGCTGAGGCAGAAGGATTGCTTGAGCCCAGGAGTTTGAGGTTGCTGTGAGCTAGGCTGACGCCATGGCACTCTAGCCTGAGCAACACAGTGAGACTCTATCTCAAAAAAAAAAAAAAATTAAAAAAAAAATGGTTTTAATTGAAACCGTGAGCACTATAGAGTTTTGATTTCAAATTTTTATCTTTTTATTCAAGGGACCATTTTGATTAAACTTTATATAATTAGATGCTGAAGTTTGATGACTGGTAGATTTTTGAAAAACACTAGAATTTTTTTACAGATGATGTGAATTTTAGTTCTGCAATCCCTTGGACATAGTTTACCTTGTCATCACTATTAAGTGTCTTTTATTTGTTATGGAATTTAAAGGTAAGAGTCTTCATGTAAAACATATACAATATGATTTTCCTGGTCTTTTGGTTTTTCCATAAAATTTGTAATTATTTCTAGATTACTTGTAATATATGTTACTAAAAATTGAGAGATTCTCAAAGACCTTATAAAAAATAACTATATAGAATTTGAAGAGATAAAAGTGGTCTTATAAAAATATAAAAGAATACTACAGGCGTAGACTGAGTTCAGACAAACATAATTGTTTTTCCTGCAAATATGTGCCTTTACTGAATATTTGGAATGACACTTTACACTAAAATGTCTGGGCTTGTTTCTTAATCTAAGAAGAAATAGTATTAGTACTAAATGTTCATTGAATAGGGAGACCTAGATTTCTTGCTTGAAATCCTATTTCTTAGTTCCCTCATTTTTAAAATGGAGATAATAATATTACTTACCCCATAGAGATACTGTGAAGATTAAATGAATAAAGTCCCTGACACATAGTATTAAGTAAAGATTTGCTTGTAAAAAAGTAGTGAAATTATGATGTAAAGATAAATTAAAAGACAAATATTAAAAGGTCATATTGTACAATCTGGTTTATAATATTTCCACTTGAAAATATATTATGAATATGTCTATATTAGTAAATATCCTTTAATAATAACTTGTTTAATAGTTACATAGTAATTAGTCATTTATTCTACATTTTTATTGAGCATTCACTTTATGACAGGTATTAAGTATATAAGAGGAAACAAAAAAGACAAGGTCCCTGCTATCATGATGCTTGTAATATAGGGAGGAAGACAGGCAAGTAAATTTTATTATAATGTTATAGGAAGAATAGTGTGCTAAGTGAGCATTTAGGGGCCATACATAACTCAGGTGTGAATTTGGGGAAACTTTTTGGAGGAGAGGGGTGAAGAACTGTGTTCAGGCAGAAGGAATGGGCAAAAAGGGCAAAAAGGTTGGCAAAGGGAGGAGAGGAACTGACTTTTCAATCTTCTGTCATAGAACTTACCATACAGTGAAGGAAATCTGGGGTGCTTAGTAACTTCCAACTAGGCCTCAATGTCCATATCCAAGAAATTTTGAGAACCAGGGCTGAGCTCAGGAATGAAGGCCTAGGGCTAAAACAAATGAAAAACAAAGTGTCTTTGAATGAAAGTGGTATGGAAAATGAAATTTAAAGTCTAAATGAGCACCAATTCAGTAGGCCCAGGAAAAAAGGCATTATCTGTGTAGGAGATAATGGGACTTCAACAGAAGACTAAAAACCCTAAAGTTATAGCCAAGCCTAGTGAGAAAAGGAGATCAGAGGCAGAGTCTGCCTCGAGTAAAAATATAGAGACAGGATTTGCTTATATGTTCTTTCTCTCTCTCTTGTTAGCTCATGCTCTGTTTTTTAGTTTGTGGCATTAAACCAGTTAGGACTTGAGGGCAGGGATGCTATCGTTTTGACCTTGTGTCCATAGTTCCTGGGACATAGTAAGCATAAGTTGAATTAATTATTTTATCTCCTCATGCATTTTTTAAGATCCTGTTCTACTTGTCCCTTCTAGAATCATTAGTCTTTCCTTCTCTTTATATAGTAATCTTCAGGCTCAAACATACTCAAATCTGACCTATATATATTCTAGACATTGAAAAAAAATTGTCACTTAAAAAACTTGAGCTTTTCTTTGGAATTCTTTGAAGTTAGCCTTTTAAAAGAGTTAATGTATTTACTATGTTAACTCTTGCTCCAAATGCTATGTCTTTCCATTTATTCACACTTTTATATCTTTATGTAGAGTTCTGTTATTTTCTCCGTTAGCTTCTGCTCTGGTCTTGAAATACTGATGTCTTGTATTTTTATTATTGTTATGTGCAGAATATGTTTCATTTTCTAACTGCTAACATAAAAGAAAGCTACTGAATTTCGTACATTTGTATTTAACTACTTCATTGAACCTTGTTTGTTTCTAATAGTTTTTCAGTTGATTCTTATATATTCTTAGTAGATAATTGACTCTGTTGTAAATAATGCTTTTATATCTTTTTTGTCTTGTTGAATTCTTTAGAAGATTTTGAACATTGTTAAATTTAGTGGCAAAATTCTGGCAATTCTGTCTTGAAAGGCATTTCCCTTAGATTTCACTGCTAAGTCACCTATTTCTTCTTGACACTCTCTTCCATTGGCTCTTTGGCATCCTTCTTTAAGGTCTTCTGCTTATTATTCTCTCATTTGCTTCCTGATCCTTCCTTCCTTAAATGTGGTTGTCATCTACTGTTAGTTATCTTATTTCTCACAGAATCTATGCACTTATTCTCAGTGATGCCATTCATCACTGTGGTTTCAAATATTACCTTTTCACTGGGGATTTCTACCTTTTACCTCTAACTCCTAAGTACCAGCCATTCATTTCTAATAGTTTACCATGTAAGTTATCATTTCTCTCCACCCCCTATTTATCAAGCTTTTTATGGGTTTCATGCATATAGTACATGTAGTGATGAACAAAGACAGACATTGTCCCTGCGTTTATGGAGCTTATAGTCTAGTGAGGAAGACAGACATTAAACACATAATAAAAGCTGTGAAAAAATGCAGTGAAAAAATGAGATGTTATGAGAAGTGTATGTCAAAGGGGCTGTGGAGAATCATTAAGTTATTGATGGTAAAGCTGAGACCTGAAGGGTTGTCAAAGAGAAGGGAACACTGACTATACAAGAAGCAGAAATACTATGTACAGAGGCTCTTAAGTGGAAAGGAATATGACATATTAGGGAACTGAAAAAAGGCAAGTATAGCTTGTAGATGGACAAAGTATGAGTGGTGAGGAATAAGGCCAGAGAGGTGAGGAGGAAACAGATTTATTAATTGAACAAATATTTAATGATTGTCCACTCTGTACTAAGTACTATTCTAAGTTTTAGGGATTCAGCATGAACAAACCAGGCAAAACTTTCTGTTCTAATGGAACTTATACTCTGTTTGGGAAAACAAACAATAACCAAGGTAAACAAGTGACATATGATATGTTAGATCATGGTTAAGTACTGAGGGAGAAAAAAGTAAAGAAGGGACATAGACTAGTCAGAGAAGCCTTCATTGGAGAGAAGAATTTATGTAAATTCTAAGCAGAGGTTAACAGTGATTGCATGTGTTGAAGGAGCTTGCCTGGCGTGTTTGAGAGTAGCAGAGAGGCCAGTATAGTTGGAGTGGAGTGTGTGAGAATTACTAGTATTACAGATGTGGTCAGAGAAGTAACAAAGGACCTAGGTCAGGCCAGGCTCGGTGGCTCACGCCTGTAATCCTAACACTCTGGGAGGCCGAGGCAGATGGATCGTTTGAGCTCAGGAGTTCAAGACCAGCCTGAGCAAGAGTGAGACCCCATCTGTACTAAAAACAAAAAGAAATTAGCTGGACAACTAAAAATATATATAGAAAAAAATTAGCTGGGCATGGTGGAGCATGTCTGTAGTTCCAGCAACTCGGGAGGCTGAGGTAATAGTACTGCTTGAGCCCAGGAGTTTGAGGTTGCTGTGAGCTAGGCTGATGCCACGGCACTCTAGCCCAGGCAACAGAGTGAGACTGTCTCAAAAAAAAAAAAAAATTAAAAAAAATTGTAAAAAGTTTGAAACAGCTACTAGATATCTGAGTAGAAAAGTTGAGTGATGCATTGGGTATACATGTCTAAAGTTCAGGAGAGAAATGTGGCCTAAAATGTAAGTGGGAGTCATCAGTATATGGATAATATTTAAATAAAATATTTTTTAAAGGATTCATCGTACACATTGGTCTATAACCTCGTTTTTCATATGATACGGCTTTATGGACCAAGTTGTGCATTTAAGACTTTTATTTTAAGTATAGTATAAGTCATGGGAGGTTTACACTAAGAGATACTCATAATTACATTTGGCTGTTATGGCATAAATGGATTACAGAGGGGCAAAAGCAAATGTTGGGGGAATGTAATTAGAAGGCTTTTGCAGCAGTTTGGGTGAGAGTTAATGATGACTTGAACCATGATGGAGGGGATGGAATGAATCTGGTTAACTATTGTTGTGTAACAAACCATCCCAAACTTAGCATGCACTATGACCACTTTATTACTGTCATTGATTCTATGGGTCAGGAATTCACACAGGGCACAGCAGAGGTAGTATAGGGCTGCTTCATCATGTCTGGGGCTTCATCTGTGAAGGATTAAAGGGCTAGGGTAACTCAAAAGGCTGGAGGCTTTACTCACATGTCTGGTTCCTATACTGGGATGACCCAAAGGCTAAACTTAGCTAGAAATGTCAGAGTACCTACATGGGGCCTCTCCATATGAGCTGGGTTTCTCAAAGCCTGAAGGCTGGGTTTAGAGAGAAAGCATTGGGAAAGTGAGCATTACAGAAACCAAGGTAAAAATGGCAAGCCTTCTCCTAACAGCCTCTGAAGTCATGCACTATCCATCATGCTCCCCTGGTTACAAGCAAGTCTGTATGACCATTTTGATTAAAAGGGAGGGGAATTAGATTCTACCTCTTGGGAGGAGATGTTGAGGTCACCTTGCAGAAAAGTCTGTGGCATAGGAGATATTGCAACCATCTTTGGAAAATATTGTCTGCCAGAAGAAGGAAATGACTCAATTCAAGATATGTTTAAGAAGACAGGAGAATGATTTGAACTAGAATTTGAAGGAGGAATCAAGGATTTATTCATTTATTCTACAGATATTTAAGTGCCTATTATATGCCCAGCACTGTTCTGAGATGATTCTGAGAACTTTTTTTACTGATTGGGAAAACAATGCAGAGAGAGACAGAGATGATATTAATAAGTTCAATTTTGGATATATTGAGTTTGAGACCCTCTGAAGTCATATCCAGGTAGAAATTTCTAGAAGGCAATTGAATACAACACATCTCAAATATAGAGGACAGAATTAGTAGAAATAAATTTGGGAATTGTCAATATAGGGTTCAGGAAGAAAAGAACTTAAAATTGTCTTGGGAAATGCCAATATTTAATGAATAGCTAGAAAAGAAAGAGTTGGAAAGGTTACTGAGGAAGAATAGCCAGAAAAGAGAAAAAAAACACGTAGGGATAATTATATCAGAGATTCTTAGGGATGAGAGTGTTTCAAGAAAGAGGGAGTGGTCCAGTGTAAGAGATTCCACTAAGAGGTCAAGTAAGATCGAGACCACAAGATGGTCATTATGTTTAACAATACAAAGTCCATTTGGAGACCACAGCAAGAGCAGTTTTTATAGAGTAGTGAGAGTGGAAACCAGGTTAGAATTAGTTCAAGCTGGGTGTGGTGGTATGCATCTGTAGCTACTCAGGAGGCTGAGGTGGGAGGATTGCCTGTGCCCAGAAGTTTGAACCTGCAGTGATCAGTGACATGCCACTGCACTCTCCAGCCTGGTCAGTAGAGAGAGACCCTGTCTCCAAAAAAAAAAAAAAAAAACTATACAAAAGAAATTTGGTTATAAAGACAATTTATCTAGACAGAGACATGGTTAAGTAATAATAATATAGATTATTATTAATAATATAGAGGGCCAATTATTTAATCAACCATTTATTATTAATTATATATTATTTGTTATCATGTTGTTATTAGTTATCATATGTTACTTATTATATAATTATATAGAGACAACTTGTAAGGGAAAAAAAGCTTTCCCTTAGGAGACTATAGATTTGAATTCTAGTGTCCTCCTAACCTTCTCCCAATTTTTCCACACACTCACATTCATACATACAGTTGCTTCAACTTCTCCCTCCAGGCTGATACTGTAGTAGTAGATCCTGAGATGGTGGAGTCTTAGATAGGAGATAGGACATTGCCATTAAAGTAGGAATAAAAGAAAAAAGATTAGGTCAGTGCAGGTGAGTTTATGGCCATGTATTTAGAAAGTTGAAGTTGTTATGTCTAACTTAAAGGAGGGTGAAGTCTACCTTTTAACTCTCTCACTTCTAGGGTGAAGTCCTCTGTGTAATTCTTACATCATGTTGTGTTTTTGCTTGGCCCTTTGCCTACCTTATTCCAAATCCTGTTGACCTTTCTCATCTCACCTCTCTTCCTACACTGAAATATTAATGCTGCTTGTGAATAACTTTCTGAGAAAGAATGTGTGGGAGTGGAATATGAGAACTATTTCAGTTCATATGGATAATCTGAAAAGTATCTTTAAGATACCCTTTAAGACATACCTAGTTCCATATACCGATGGAAGATAATTTTATATAAGGAAAAGTACTTTGGATTAGGGATGAGGTTTTAATTCTGACTTTGCAAATTTATTTTGTAATCTTAGGCAAATGCATTTGTAAAATGGGGGGCTTGTGTTGGATGTCTTTAATTGGCCCTTCTTGCTATGAGAATTCTTCCTAGGAAAAGTGTTGGTGACTGAAAAATAACCAGTAAATTATTTGTAGGGTCCCAAAAGAGATGCTGAACTAATCTAGTGTTTTATTTGTGCTTTGCTTCTGCTTTTCTTTTGCTTATCAGCCATCCAAAAAACCAAGATATGTTTGTGGGTTTCATTTCAGGTGCGCTAATGCATGAGTTATCAAATGATGGTGCTCGTAGACAATTTGAATTTTATCTGGAAGAGATGATCCTCCCTCTCATGGTAGCTAGTGCCCAGAGTGGGGAACGAGAATGCCATATAGTGGTGCTTACAGATGATGATGTGGTTGATTGGGATGAAGAATATCCACCACAGATGGGAGAAGAATATTCACAAAGTAAGTATTGTGGCATGTCTTCTCTCTCCTGAATCATCCCAGATCATCTCTTATTTTTGCAAAGAAAAAACTCTTCACTATATGCCAGGGGTCAGCAAACCTGTGGGTCAGCCTGTGGGTCAAATCCAGCCTGCCGCCTGTTTTTATAAATAAAGTTTTATGTATTGCCTATGGCTGCTTTCATGCTACAGTGGCAGAGTTGAGTAGTTGCAACAGAGACTGCATGGCTCGCAAAGTCCGAAGTATTTACTATCTGGCCCTGTACAGAAAAAGTGTGCCCTACCCATGCCATACACAGAAGTGGTTTGCTTTCGTTGACTGTCTGAATCTTGATAGATTTTTTCTTTGTATTTAGAAGCATCCTGGAGAAGTAGGTCCTAGAGTAGATAATAAAAATAACTTTTTTTAAAAAATGAGTTTTTGTTTTTATATTAATTTAGAAGCTTTAACCCATTGATTTTGAGGGTGACTTTAAGTTTTACTTAATTTCTCTAAATATATTTTATTTTGTACCAAGAGACTCCAACCTAATGAAGATTCATTTAAAGAGATAAGAGATAGCATTTTCAGCTTGATTTTTCTAAATGTGACTATATGACAGATACTATCCTTTCTGATGTTTTTTAAATGGCATATATGTTCTGGAGGATACAATGATCCTTCATAAAGCTTTGTGGAACTATAGTTCTTTTAGGTATTTCTGACCAAAACAGCATATCTTGAGCAGCAGTGACTATTTTTTTTTCTTATTCCATTTGTAAATTTTTATAATTAGCATCTTTGGGGTTTTTTTGTTGTTGCTGTTAGAAAATCTATCTTACAGTTTTTCTTAATGAACTCATACTAGTATTTTTTTTTTATCAGTTTCATAGATTGAGAAGAAAAGTTGAAATAATGACTCAAGGAACTGAGTATATAATAGCCTAGCATTTTGTTCTGTACTATAGTCTGTTGAGTTGGTAAGGATTAGGGTTTAAGTAAAAAAGTAGTACAGGAATATAGAAAGTAATAAAACGTTTTAATCTCTGATTTTTTCCATCTTCTATACTCTTCTCTAAAAACAAAACAAAGCAGACTCCAAATGGTATGCTTTTTGACTTCTAAAGAAAAAAAGATTTTCAAAAGATTATTTTAACACTAGTTATGGTAGCACTTTTCAGTATTTACATTGAGATATTTCTGGCTGGGCACAGTGGCTCACGCCTGTAATCCTAGCACTATGGGAGGCCGGGCGGGTGGATCACTCAAGGTTAGGAGTTTGAGACCAGCCTGAACAAGAGCAAGAGCCCCGCCTTTACTAAAAATAGAAAGAACTTAATTGGCCAACTAAAAATACATAGAAAAAATTAGCTGGGCATGATGGCACGTGCCTGTAGTCCCAGCTACTTGGGAGGCTGAGGCAGGAGGATCTCTTGAGCCCGGGAGTTTGAGGTGCTGTGAGCTAGGCTGTCGCCAAGCACTCTAGCCTGGGCAACGGAGTGAGACTCTCCCTCAAAAAAAGCAAAAAGCAAAATAAAAAAGAGATATTTCTTTTGCATGACATACGTAAATGAGTATTGTAATTTTTTTGTGGATAGTTGTAGTGATAGCCATTTCTGTTGCTATTTCCTGAGTCCTAGGCTCTTTGCTGACAATGGTTTTCTATAATAATATGTGGAATAAAAAGATATACAAAACATAAGAAAAATGAAGGGTTACCAAAAATCAAAAGAATTATGCTAAATTCTGTTGAGAAAAAGGAATGAATAAGCTTATAGTTTACTTTTCAAAAGGTTTGACTCCAAGAAAGTAGAGCCAACCATAGAACACAGAAATAACATGTTAGTGAAAAGGTTATAATAAACCTGCCTTTTTGTTTTCCATTGTTGAACTTCCCATTTCAAAATTTTTTTTGTTTTCTTTTTTTTTTTAATCTTAAGCTTTGAAGCTTAGAAGGACTTACATACTTAATTTTTACATAATTTGTCTAAATATATTGCCAAGGTTTCCAACCTGAAGAACATTCATTTGAAGAGATAGAGTTAGCCTTTCCAGCATGATTTTTCTAAATGTGACTTTATGGCAGATGCTATCCTTTCTGAGATGTCAAAAAATCTTTGTCTTAAAATACTAGCAATCTTAAAGATGTATTAATAATCAAAAATTTACCCCATAAGTAGAATTTGTATACATATTTTCCTTTTATTGGCTCTTAAACCAGCATGTTTGGTTTGTGAGTGTGTTTTTCTTTTTTTGAAAAAACCTTTGCAGTTCACCTTTTAAGGGAGATAACTCCACCTGAAAGAGAGAAGGCGAGGAAGGTCCATCAGTCTAACTCCCTGAAGTTCCCAGCACATTTGGAAGACTCAACATGTTGTCAGTGGAATGTCTGTCCTTTGCAAAGCCAGTTTGCTCTAAACAGACTAACCTAGGCAGAACTTGCTCGAATCTGCCATTTTTAACATCAATATTAAATGGGGCTGTTCGCCTGAATGGAAAACAGTTTGTGGGGGGGTCTTTGCCTTTTGGGAAATTATTAATAGTTGCTCAATCCATGAAATGTAAAATGTTTCTGTTTTGTACTCTTTGACAAGGCAGTTTTTCCCCTTCTAGACTAGGCCTTGTAGGCATTTTAGCAAAGTTCTTTACTTTGCCCATGTGATAATGATGTGATATGACATCTTCTTTTTTGAAACTGGGGGCAGATCCCATTCCAATAAGCACATATGTGATGTATCTTTCAGAAGGAGATTCTTCCTATGGATTGGGTTACCTGACTGGTTATCAAAGCTTTTCTTGTTTCCACTTAAGTAGACATTTGCTTCTATATTAACTGTACTGAATATTGTCCTGTCATGTTGGCTAGTCATCCTTTGGCATTACTGCATCCATTATTTGGGCTTTTAGGGCTGTTAGATCCCTTTGATGATCAAGATAAATTTAAGTTTATCTCTAAGTATTTTGATTATAATACAAAAATTTTTTTTCTTTTTGTTTTCAGTTATTTATAGCACAAAATTATATAGATTTTTCAAATACATTGAAAACAGAGATGTGGCCAAATCAGTTTTGAAGGAGAGGGGTCTTAAGAAGATTAGATTGGGAATAGAAGGTAAGACATTTTCAATTAATTTTATTTTGGAAAAACAAGGTTAAAAACAATTGGATCCTGTTTAGAATATAATTTAAATATTTTGAGAAAAACTCTGAGATAACTACTTTCTGGAAATTCACATAAAAGCAGTACTGGTAGCTTTCTGGTGTCTTAAAGTATAACAGCTATTTTCAAGTTAAATACAAATTAGAAAACTTCATTTATCTTATTTAAATGCATACATTTTTAGATAGCCTTTTACCTTATGATTTAAATGAATTTTTCCATATGCCTTTTCCAATGCTTCTTTCATTTTAAAATGCCCTTACTAAGAACAAAGTATCTTTCTTAGCATAACATAGCATGGTATAAAGAGTAAAGGCTCTGGAGTCAGATTGCTTGTGTTCAAATCTTGTTACTTCATAGCTCTGTGACCTTGACCAAAACACTTAAAAACTCTGTGCATCAGTTTATTTATCTCAAATGGGAGCATTAAAAAGCATTTTCTAAGGCTATTGTGACATTAGAATGAGTTTATACATGAAAAACACAAAAGTGCCTGGTACATAGTAAATTCTTGGTTGGTATGTGATTGTGATGGTGATAACGAAGATAATAGTGTGATCAATAACCTGGTTGAATCATTGGAGATCATAATAATTGGCTGTTGGGACTGGGAAGAAAGAATGACCAGAAACAGGATTTTTGCACAGGAAGGGGAGTAGACTTTGGGCTTAAAGAGCAGTGGAATTATTGACATGTGAAGCATTGCTGGGTGCATGATTTTGTAAACAATGGGATTTAGCAGCATGGTCTCAGAGCTAGTGAGAAGGCAATTAGCAGCTACTTTATAATGGAAGGACAGGGAAGGCCTCTGAGGAAGAGACATTTGAGCTGAAGCCTGATGATAAGGATGGTTCTAAGAAGAGAAAACAGCAGGTGCAAAGGTGTTGAGGTAGGGATGAGCTTAGTATTTGAGGTACAGAAAACATAGATATGGCTGGTATAATAAATAAGGAGATTTGAAGAGATATAATTGGTATGCAAGTTGGTAGTAGAAGTAAAATAGGGTCAGAAGATACAGTCTTGTAGGCCATGTTAAGGAGTGTACTGGCCAAGTGTCTTAAGGTGAATCTCTCAGATTTTCTGAGCATCAGCTTTTTTTTATTTTTATAGAGGGTATAATCCTCTGTATGTCTTAGAGGATGGTTGTGATGATCAAGTGAGATTTGCTAGAAATTACATCCTTCCCATCCTACTTTCTCTTTCTCTACATGCCTGCTACTTTACATCCTTCAAATCTTCTGAAACCTTGGAACTTCTGTGAAATTGCTCCATAGAGCAATCTGTTATATAATACTCTGTTCAGTCATGGAGTATGAGCTTCTTAAGAAAAAGCAAGTTGCATTTTGCATACCTAACATGTGGCCTACTTCCTAGGAACAGGGGATCTCAAATAGTGAATAAATGATTTACAGAAAAGCTACATATAAGTTAGTTACTGAAAGTGAGGACTTCATTCTCTGTCACAGGGGAATAATAACAGTGCTCTAAGCATTGAGGTCAACTCTTAAGTGAATTTCATATAATCATAAATACCTAATGACAAGTATTCCTTACCATTAACCCCATTAAAAACCATTAAAATAGTCCTCTCGCTCTTTCTCTCTCTCTCTCCACACACACACACACACACACACACACACACAAAATGATACTTTACTTCTAAATATTTTAATAAACATCTCCAAAAATATTTTATCACACCCAAGAAAATTAATAATTCCTTAGTATCAATCCCCATTAAAATTTCCCAATGCTCCCCAAAAGTGTCCTTTGTAGCTGGTCTCTCTAAACTAGGATCCAGTCCAGGCCCACACCCCATAACTAACTGCTTATTATGTCAGATCTTTTAATCTAGAATAGCTCCTTATTTATGACCCTTCCCTATTGAAGAGTCTAGGCTGTTTGTCCTGTAGACAGTCCTACTTCTGGATTTGCCTTACTACTTCCTTGTGGTGTCCTTTGATTTATTCTTCTGTCTTCTGTAAATTCCTATAAAGTTAAGTTAGATTTAAAGGGTTAATTTATATCTATGCTGATTAAGTGGGTGACAGCCTGATCCCTCCATTATAAGATTAAGCTGTTTCGGCGGGCTCACGCCTGTAATCCTAGCTCTCTGGGAGGCCGAGGTGGGCGGATTGCTCAAGGTCAGGAGTTCGAAACCAGCCTGAGCAAAAGCGAGACACTGTCTCTACTATAAATAGAAAGAAATTAATTGGCCAACTAACATATATATAAAAAAAAAATTAGCCGGGCATGGTGGCACATGCCTGTAGTCCCAGCTACTCGGGAGGCTGAGGCAGGAGGATTGCTTGAGCCCAGGAGTTTGAGGTTGCTGTGAGCTAGGCTGACGCCACGGCACTCACTCTAGCCTGGGCAACAAAGTGAGACTCTGTCTCAAAAAAAAAAGTAAAAAAAAGATTAAGCTGTTTCTTGTGTGACTTTATTTTGACACCATAAGAGTATACAGCTCCTGAATAATCATTACTAAAGGTTTTAAATACTAGTTGATAATTTTTGCTTGAAATAGTAATTGCATTATGGATTGCAAAATTATCATTTTCTAATCCTATCAGTCCATTTACATTTATCACCTGGTGGTATTTTGTAAAATAGAGCTTTTTTCTATCAAATGAGGCTATTTGGTTATCCATCATTATCTCTATTTTTAAGAGGAAGAAACTGAAACTTAAGAGGTTAGATAACTTACTAAAGTTGCATTGAAAATAAATAGCAAAACCAGTACTTGAATTTAGGTTTCTGTGATTTCAGTCTTGAGTGTTTTTGAAATACTATATTAAGTGGAAAATTTTTAATACATTAAAAATTTTTTATAAATTCTTAAAATTTTACAAGAGGCAAATCTACAAGCTTAGATAAATTGGACTTGACTTTGGCAGGACAGTAACTGACCAGGCCCTTCTACTCTTCTTTCAATAACTGCTTCTAGCTCCTGAGGCATTCTTTTCTTTTCCCAACTAATGTGTAGACTCAGAGCAACAGCCACATTTTCCCATTTTCTCTTGAAAAAATAAATAGAATAGCCACAATTCCACTAGAAATGTTGAGATTTTTCTGGAATAAAAGAAAAAAAATTCAGATGTCCATCTTGGCCATTGTGTAACTTCCCCCCGCCCCCCAACAAACCCCCGCCCTCCCAATTCCAAGTCGATTATTAAAGAAAAAAAAGAAACCTGATTATTAGAGTATTGAATGTGTTAAGTTTCATGGGAGCTAGATCGGGTTGGTATTTAAAGGATACAAGAAGCACCGGAAAGAACTTGGATTTATGAGAAGGAATGATGGAATATAAGGCTAGATAAAAGAGTCAGTCCTACTATTGTCTTGCCATTCCTGCCTAGGATACAGAAGGTAGACATATTCACAATCCCATCTAATTAAAGACTTCATTACTTTGTCTTGAGCTTCCTATATTCTGCAAGAACTATAATTCAATAATATTATTTCAGAGGTTTTTTTCCTTTAATGTCAGACTCTGTTGTAAGTCTCAGTCAATTACTCTGACAGAACAGAGCTTTCTGTTAAGTTCAGGACAAGGTTGCTAATGATGGGAGTAAGGCCATAACTAATATGATCTGCTAGTAGCAAACCATATTAGTAGTAGCAAAATTAGTAGCATATTAGGAGTAGCAAACCCCTGTAGTCCTAAACTGCCTTTAGAACCCAATCATATGAGAGTGAGAGATGTTGTTCTAGTAAAGGATAGGTCAAACAGACAAAAAACTCCAACGAAGTGACTTTCAGTGGAACTGTAGCATGGAGAGCGATTTAGGCAGGAGTTATTTATGCTTTCCCAGCCATGCCCCAGAGACATTTTTATGTAACAACAAACCCACAGACCCCAAAATCCTGCTTATAATTAAGTAGAATGGACCTTAGACAGGCCTGACTATAGCAATATTTGAATATGAACATGGTTTCATAAAACTAAGAATATTTTTTAATCTAGCAGACAATATTAGTTATGGCCTTACTCCCATCATTAGCAACCTTGTCCTGAACTTAACAGAAAGCTCTGTTCTGTCAAAGTAACTGACTGAGACTTACAACAGAGTCTGACATTTAAGGAAAAAAACTCTGAAATAATATTGTTGAATTATAGTTCTTATAGAATACAAGAAGTTCAAGACAAAGTAATGAAGTCTTTAATTAGATGGGATTGTCAGTTTTTCTACCCTCTGCATCCTAGGCAGGAATGGCAAGACAATAGTAGGACTGGCTGTTATCACCAAAAGCTCAGCTATATACAAAAGTCCCAATTCTCTCATTCTGTACCTGTGTCCAAAATTTTGTTCTCTGCAAGATTTAACAAACTAAGCTTGAAACAAATCTGAATTTCTCTTTCTTTAATAAAGAGTATAATTTATTCATAGTTTCCCCCATCTGTCCCAAATCTATATTATCTTTTTTTTCCTTCTTTTTGAGACAGAGTCTTGGTCTGTCACTGGCTAGAGTGCAGTAGCAGTCATCATAGCTCACTGTGACCCCAGACTCTTGGGCTCAAGCATCATCCTGCCTTAGCCTCCCAAGTAGTTGGGACTACAGGCACATGCCACCACACCCAGCTAATTTTTTCTATTTTTTGGTAGAGACGGGGCCTTGTTTTTGTTCAGGTTGGTCTCAAACTCCTGACCCCAAGCAATCCTCCTGCCTCTGCTTCCCAGAGTACTGGGATTATGGGCATGGGCCACCATGCCTGCCCCTGCCCCCCAATCTATCTTCTAATGTTACCTCCCACTGTTTCCCAGTACAGATGCCATGCTCCAGTCATATGTGTCTTAGGGTCTCCTAAACACATCTGGTATGTTCCTACCTCTGTATCTTACCTTATGCCATTCTCTCCTTTGAATGATATTCTGCCTACTTTACTCTTCCTTTATTTCTTCCCATCCCAGTCTTCTTCTCATCCATTAAGATCCAGCACAAGGAAGGTCTTTAAGAATTTTTTTCTATTTTCGCCCATTGGAATCCCATTCTTCTTTTGAACTCTTTACACTTCCACCAGTGCCTTCATACTTTCTCTTAGGAGCATACATTTGCTTTTGGGGATGTTCTTTGACTTTATGAACAATTTCATCACTCGTAATAGACCATAAACACCTTTATGGCAGCACCCTGGCATTACAATTCTGTGATGCATAGCTGCTAAGTCATTACTTGAATGATTAGGCTGGTAAATCTCAAAGTCAGGGACAGACTTTATTTTTGAGAAAAAAAAAATTCTCAGTAAGATGGATATCCAGGAAGAGATTATCACTTGTAACTGATGTATCGTGGTAGTTCATTCATTTTTTGCTCAAATATTTGTTTTGCTTTCAGGCACTATAAGCTAGGCATGGGGATACACAGATAAAGATGCTGGCTTTGGCATATAAGAACTCACTAAATAGGTGAAAAATTCAGACATACAAAAAGGTCATTACAATTTAGTGCTGTAGATAGTGTTAAAATGGGAGTGCTGTAGAGCATAGAAGTGAATGATTAACTCTGTGGAGAGTCTTAATGTTTTTGCCAGGGATAAAAGAAGGTGAAGCTGCAGGGGCGAGAGGGCCAAGAGGGAATAGGCTGCAGAACCATTTGTGTAAAACCACCAAAGCATATTTAGGGGAAAGTTTAATACCGTGGTGGGTATATTTGAGAGCTGTAGAGTTAGAGGAAGTATAGCATGATAACAGATGAGATTAAGTAGGTTGGAACCAAGTTGTAAAAAAGCCTTGTATACTATGTTAAGTAGTATGGACCTTTCCTTTAAGCATGAGGAAACCATTGGTAGTTTTTAGGCAAGGATGTAATATGATTGTGTTTGTCTAGAGTGGTGATTCTGTGTGGAGGACAGATTGGAATATAATGAGATGGGAATTTTAAAGTCTTTAAGTAGTCCAGGAGGAATGAAGGATAAGGTAATAGAGATGGAGACCTTTCTGATCTCTGCTTCTGCCAATCAAATGGTAATTGACTGGAAATGTCAAAGGAAGAAGACATTCTATAGGTATTTAGAAAGTTTTTAGCCTTGCTTACCTTCTGCGCCTCCCTTACCCCCACCACTTACGCACACACTCCACACGTGGCTAAAAAAATATAGTAGCTACCAATGATATCTACGTATAGTCCCTTATGCAGTGACCATTAAGCCCGTACTAAGTGAGGCCTTTCCATTTCTTTCTGATTCTGATTGTCTAACTGGCCCAGGAGCCGGTCTAACTAGCTCATTGCAAGTTTTTTTTTTTTGGGAGACAGAGTCTCGCTTTGTTGCCCAGGCTAGAGTGAGTGCCGTGGCGTCAGCCTAGCTCACAGCAACCTCAACTTCCTGGGCTCGAGTGATCCTTCTGCCTCAGCCTCCCGGGTAGCTGGGACTACAGGCATGCGCCACCATGCCCGGCTAATTTTTTCTATATATATCAGTTGGCCAATTAATTTCTTTCTATTTATAGTAGAGACGGGGTCTCGCTCTTGCTCAGGCTGGTTTTGAACTCCTGACCTTGAGCAATCCGCCCGCCTCGGCCTCCCAAGAGCTAGGATTACAGGCGTGAGCCACAGCGCCCGGCCTGCAAGTTTTTTATAATTAAAGTTTTATTGAAACATATGCATGCTCATTCATTTACATATTCTCTGTAGCTGATTTCACTTTACAGTGGTATTGTTGAGTAGTTTCATTAGAAACCTTGTGGCTCACAGCCTGAAATATTTACCATCTGGCCTTTTATAGAAAGTGTTTGCCAATACCTAGTCCAAAGTAGCAATTCTTACTAGTAAAAAGGAGAGAAGGGATTTGTAATTGTTTCTAAAGATAGTTTATCTTTGGAGAAATTGCCTTACTGGTAAATAACTGAAATTTTTCTAAATATAGGGTTGTCCTTACTAGTTTTCACTTTTTAGTGACTATGATCCAAAGGAGGGAGGTATTAATAATTAGGGAAAGCTGCTTTGGAAATGTGAATCTAAATTAACTGCTTGGTTGTTGAGAGTAGTGATGTTAAAATGATATGGGAGGTTAAAATGCTGCCTTGCTGACCTAGGTACAGAAATATCTAGAACCACCTGCAGAGCTGTACAGCACTTTGTCATTTAACAAAAAAGGAAAGAAAAAACCCAGAGCAATAATGGAGTTGAGACTTAGGTTTAAGGAAACCAGAAGGCTAATTGGCAATAAACTGTAGGCCTTTAGGACAATCCTGTGAAGAAAATGATTTAGGGACATCAAAGATACACAGCTAGAGCCCAAAATCTGTTCTAGATTATACACCATCGCACTGGGGGCCCAACCCCTCCATACTTTAGGAATGTTTTTCTGGTGGTTGGTATATTAACTAAAAGGCTGTGGAAGGTTATGCGAGTTAAATCAGTAGGATTTTAGTTTCTGGCTGTTGAACTGATGAGTAGGTGAGTGGAGCATTGTTTTCCCTTCTTTGTCTAAATTTTTATTTATTCAGGATCTATAGCAGAAAAGCCCTCTAAGGCAAAATTGAGTGTGAAATGTTTGCATATATGTGTATCCTCAGTTTTTAAAACCTTTTTTTCCTTCAGGTTATCCTACCTACAAAGAAAAAGTAAAGAAAAGGCCTGGGGGCCGCCCAGAAGTGATTTACAACTATGTCCAAAGACCCTTTATTAGAATGTCCTGGGAGAAGGAAGAAGGAAAGAGTCGGCATGTAGACTTTCAGTGTGTAAAGAGTAAATCCATCACCAACCTTGCAGCAGCTGCCGCAGACATTCCCCAGGACCAGCTGGTAGTCATGCACCCCACTCCGCAAGTGGATGAGCTGGATATTCTCCCTATCCATCCCCCTTCTGGCAACAATGACCTCGATCCTGATGCACAGAATCCAATGCTGTGATGCTGATGTTCCTTGAAACTATAGCATGCTACTCTTCACAGTGATGTTGTACTCTCCTCATTCTGCACTGCAAGGCCACTCTTCTTCTTCATTGTGAGATGCACATAACAATGTTTAGGATATTGCAGTGTAGGCTTTTTTAAAGACCAAAGGTAGCTGAATGGTTTTTTAAATGAGTACAACTCTAGCATCCTGAAGTTCCAGTTATATAAATGTATTTGTTTACCAGTAGGTTTGTGAAATTGGTTCTTTGTATGGGGGACAGTCCTTTTTCACACATCTAGGTTTTTTTTAGAAGTGGTTGAAATTGGCAGCTGGGGTGCTTTCAGCCTAGATTGATACTCATCACGCCCCAGATAAAATGCAGAATATTATATAGTTGCACTTTATAAATGGTGGTTAAATGGAACCGTTCAAGCCATTTTATAGTTGTGATGCACAATATAACTTAAATAAGTGCTTCTATCAAAGTATTCCTTCAGTAAAATGTGTATAGTTTGCTGCCCATGATGAACAAAAAATGAGTATTTATGTTGGGCTTATTTGAATGATTAGGATGAGATTCAATGCCCATATCCTAACAATTCGGTTATCTCCAGTGCCATTTCACCCTTTAGAGTGAGTTACATGCAGGGATTGTGGACATCAGAGGTGGTTTATTATCCAGTCTGCCTTACCCTTAATCTGTTCACAGATATTTATTTACTAATGCTTTGTTTTCTTAAGAGTTATGGGATAGGAAAATGAAGTGTTTGCTCTTCATTTACTAAATGATTGTAAACTCGAGTTTTTCATCAAAATAAAATTCCATTGTTTTAATGTTTCTGACCAAATTTATACCCACCTTGACCAGATTTTTAGCTTAATTAATTAGCAGATTTCCTGTCTTATTGGTAACTAGAAATCAAATAGTAGCTCAGGGAACTCTAACTTGGTATATGTGTGATGAGGCACTTAAATTCCCTACTAATTATAAAATATCCTATAAATCCAAAATAATACCAGAGCTAAAAAGAGAGTTTTTTCTAGTCCAACCTTATATGAAGGGCAAAATGACTTTACTAGGTCATATAGTAATCCTAAGTTTCACAGCCAATTTCTGATACTAGTTCAGTGCTTTTTCTATTGTACCTTGCTGCTTTGCTTAGCAAATTATTCATACAAATACTACTTTAAATATTCTGTGGTCCAATTCAAGAAGGAATCAGAAATATTTAGGAGTCTGGGGTCACTTAGTGTTTGAAGCCATACAATTGCAAATAATGGTAAAGAGGGGTAGCAGTAGAGAAACCACTTTGTTACCTATAATCTTAAATTTATAATTTCAGAGGATTTGAAATTTATATGTAAACAGTAACATCTTTGTTCTCACATAAAATTGCAATAATTCGGAAATGAACTATTTTAACAGCACAGCTAAGCTAGCAGTACGGGGAAATTATGCAAACCCCAGAATTATGAAAGCCAGAAAGGCACTGCAAATGTTAATTGGCAAGGATCATCCTTAAACACCCTCTGTAGAAACTGATGATCCAGCTCTGTAGCATGTAGAATATTTTTTCTAATTATTTGAAATGGGAACAATATTTATAGAACAAGGGAAACATTTATTAAAAATATTTAACTGTCTAATACATTATACTTTAACCCATATTTATAGTAAAGGATTCTTACAAGGAAGAATAAACAGCTTTATGATACAATTAGTATAAGAAATATCCACATGGGGGACTTCTTTGTAGTGTAAAAACACCATACATCTGAAATGACCATTTGCATATAAAAGCTACCAATGATGCTTCTGTGCACAATGATTAAAAAATTCAACACAAACAGAATCCAAAATATACAATTAATGCAAGCTATCCACAGCTAGCCCAATAATCAATGATGAGGAAACACTGGAGCAGGCTTAGTTCCACTTTGTCTGAAGTTACACATAATAAGATTGACTTGTATCAATGGCTCTGAGATGGCTTTTATGAAATCAGTACATAAAAGCTGTTCTCTCCTTATCCAGTAAGCTTCACAGACTGTAAAACTCCACCAGTAATGCACTTTGATACTGTAGCTGTTGCCAAAGCAACATGTAGTGTTTACAGCGGCCATGGCAAGTCGCTAAAGTCAACAGGGCCACCCAGCCCAGCATCTGCTTCCAAGAGGCTCATGATGACAGCCATTGCTGCTTCATCATTACTGGGACTACTTGATCCTTGGTCATTGTCTATCATGTCCATACCTATGTGGGGGTTCTCACCTGTGGGAGGAAAGACTGGTCAGTAATAAGAATACCAAAACATGTTTAGAGTAAATAAGCAATTCCTAACCACACTTTTAATAATAGGGTGAGAGAGACTGCTTTTGGGGCCACATGGTTATGGTTTGACTATTTTTACATTGCTGTTTTTCAGAAGAACCAACTTGTTAGCAATAAAAAAGTGGTTGGCCGGGCGCTGTGGCTCATGGCTGTAATCAATCCTAGCACTCTGGAAAGCCGAGGCAGGCGCATTGCTCAAGGTCAGGAGTTCGAAACCAGCCTGAGCGAGATTCTGTCTCTACTAAAAATAGAAAGAAATTAATTGGCCAACTAAAAATATATAGAAAAAATTAGCTGGGCATGGTGGCACATGCCTATAGTCCCAGCTACTCGGGAGGCTGAGGCAGTAGAATTGCTTGAGCCCAGGAGTTTGAGGTTGCTATGAGCTATGCTGATGCCACGCCATGGCACCTAGCTGAGGCAACAGAGTGAGACTCTGCCTCAAAAAAAAAAAAATGCTTAGAATTTGATAAATGTTAAAAGTATTTGAGTCAACCTCATTTTAATATTCTTATATAACCAGTTAGGGGGAGGGAATTACAGAAGGGCAAACAGGAAAGGAGAGATTAGGAATAAAGATCTAGAAAGACAAGTAGAGACAAAGATGGATGTGATGGGATAAGCAAACTCTCATCACTTAATGATTTTTTTTTGTTTTTAGCCAATCAAATTTAGCAGTAGGGGATTGAATACCAACTTTAGTGACACTAATGTTAATAAGTTCTGATAACCCACTACCATCGGACCCGCCCACTTAATGATTTTTAATACCCTCTGAAATGCTTAGCGGTCATGATTCTAAGCTTTATCTCTGAACCTTCATTGGCTCTCCCCTTAAAGAGTTTATGCCCCATGTGGGAGAAAGCCTATTAGGTCTAGGCTACTGTAACTTCCTCTTGAGTTCCAGGGACACACTTGGACCCTCACCAAAACAAACATTAAAGTCAACTTTGAAGTAGAGATTTGAACAAATTTTAAACTTTTATTCTGTTCTTATCAAATTTATCTATAACTAAGTTGTTTTATATAATTCAGTTTTTTTTTCTTTGAGACAGGGTCTTGCTCTCTTGCCTGGGCTGGAGTGCAGTGATATCATCAAAGCTCTCTGTGCAACCTCAAACTCCTGGGTTCAAATGATCCTCCTGCCTCAGCTTCCCAAATAGTGGGGACTACAGGTGCGCACCACCACACTCAGCTAATTTTTTAAATATATATTTTGTAGAGATGGGGTCTTACTATGTTGCTCAGGCTGATCTCAAACTCCTGGCCTCAAGTGATCCTCCCATCTTGGCCTCCCAATGTGCTAGGATTACAGGTGTGAGCCACCCTGCCTGGTCTCAATTCAGTTCTTAAAACTGACTTTATGCTAGATGTTTTGCAAGATCACTGCAATGGGAATGAATAATAATGCCACTTACCCAGAATAGAAGAACTATCAGAATATGGATAACCTGGATTCTCCTGAGCCTGTCCTGGTAGTAGGCCACTGGAAGGAATGTCTGGAGTCCCTCCATTTAAAATCTACAAAGAAAAGGAGAAAAGTATGACATTTTCTACTCCAATATGGAATTTTCAATCAGTAACATGTGCAATGTCACCAAGAAAAGGAAGCACGTTGGAAAGAGGAAGCGGGGATGAGAGAGAAGCTTCAACATGGCTTCAGTTTCTTCTTGTATGATGTCAAACAAGGAACTATTAGGAATGGTCATAGCAAGAAAAAAACCTTTCCCCTAAACTATTCTCTTCGTTTGATTTAGCCTATACAGGTAACTTAAAGGCTGAATAAAATCCCTAAGAGCATTCAACTACTTGGAATCATATCATGCTGCCCACATATTTCTTAAAGGCCAAGGCCTAAAATCCAAGGAGCCCAGGTGGGCAGTTCCCCAGTAAGGGAGTAAAACATAGTAACAGATGTTGCTGAAGAAGAAATAAGTGGACTTGTTAACAAGCTGTGAAGAGACACAACTCTGAGGAGTCACAAGTGAACAAAACACTAGACGTATTAATACATCCCTTATCACCTAGCTGCCAACTTCAGTAACCTGTGGTTTAAGTTCTTCAGATAGACCACTAGGAAACACGATTACTACTCAATACCAGAACTCTAATTCTGTCTTGCCCCCAAATCATGCTCCCCGCATACACACCCCAGCCCCCAGTTTCCTTTCCCTAGTTGAGTCTCAGGGAAGAGCATCCTTTGAGAAGTATCTGGATATAGGTGAGGAAAGAGTGCGTAGCAGCTGGATTTCAGGAGACACAGTTATTTCAGGCCTTGCCAGTAGGTGGCATTGTAATTTTCTTTATTTCCACAGTTCAACTTTTTGGTCTATGGACCCTTTTACACTGTTAAAAATTATTGAGGGCTCCAATGAACTTTTATGTAGGCTGTACTTATCAATATTTAATATATTTTCAATTAAAATGAATATATTTTTTAAATATAATAAACCTATTACATGTTAACATGAATAATAAGTAGCATTTTAATGAAAAAATCATTATTTTACATTTTTTACAAGTATAATGTCTGGCTTAATAGATTTCAATTAGATTCTCATGTCTGGTTCTCCAGTCTGTTTAGATATTTGATTCAAGTACATGAAGGAAATCCAACCTCCTAGAGATACATAGTTGGAAAAGGGAAGCATATTTTAATTAGCCTTTTCAAAAATTGGAATATTCTTCTCTGACACTACATACAAACTCAACAAATGGAAGTTTCTTAAAGGTTAGTTACAATGTGGAATATGAAACCACATTAATGAATTTTTTGTATTCTTGCTAAAATCCATTGGTATATCTTGGTACTTAGGGATGGATCTTTTACCCTTGGATGATTTTGAAATATCTTGTATTGGTTACTTAGAAAATACCACCTCACTGAGTTATGCAGATTTTCCAAATGTTGACACATTCCATTATATAGCATCAAAACATCACTATTATTGATACTACCTATCTCATCAAAAATAGCTTTTAAGTTTTAGGAAGCTTTCAAGCCCAAAGTAGCAGATAGAAGTTTTCTAAAAATTCCTGTTTTTGCTTGAAAGCTCCAATTTTATCATTGGCAACAAATAGTGTCAAGTTATTTTCCTTGAAGTAATAGGTTCACTTCATTTTTAAGAAATTGTATGCTAAATACCTAAGACTGAATAACCATAGTTTGCTAGAGTAGAAATGATGTCCCATGAAAAAAAGGAGCTTATTCAGCTCACAAATAGTCACAGAGTGCTTTTTCTTGGGACAAACTTCCTACTTTGCAGCACAAGCACTTTATGCATATTTCCCATTTTGTCACATCAAGTATTAAAAAGATGTGTATTCAAGGATTTTATAAAAGTGATTTTTACTGCTTCATTAAGGACATTCTTAAATGAAACTGGCTTTTAAGTTATTTTTTTATTGCAAGTGTGTGGTTGAAGAATACAATGACTACTAGTAGTTTGGTGCCACTGCTCCAATTTGGGCAAAACACCAGCAGTTTTACCAAACAGTGCTTTTATCAACACAGTGAAAAAAAAATAATATTTTAGTATTATTATGAAAATAGCTTTGACCTTGCAGATCCTTGAAAGGACCTTGCTCCCCGCCTCCTGCCCCCACCCCCAAAGAAAAGACCACAGATGACTTTTGTGGAAATCCTGCTTATCTGAACCTGCCTTAGTGTTTCTGGATATCCACACTCTCTTGGGACCTATGGAGGCTCACCCTACCTCCACCAAAGCCCCCCCCCTTTTTTTGGTTCTGTGATTTGGATACAAATTAGCCTCCCTTTTTAGCGTGATCTTGCTGCCATGTTTAACTCCGTCTTGTTCAGGCTGCTTAAGACTTATCTTATGAGAGAATACACACAGAATTTCTTCTCACAGACCCATTTTTATAAGCCCAAAGGAAAAAAGAATTCATAAACGCCTCAGAAATACCTAGGGCTTTATGATGCAGAGCACAGCTTTGTATTTCTGGTAGTCATTGATATGAAAAGAATTGGAAGTCATGAAATCAGGATCGTAGTTGGGGGCCATACTTATTAACAAATGCTGGGAACCCTGGATTTTGTCATCTATGAAGTTGTGGGGATAAGACAAGAGAATGTATATGAAAGTCCTTTGAATAATACTTAAACCTATACTAGAGTAATAACCTTTAAAAGCTGAGTGTAGAGTCCTTGATAATAACAAGAAGTCAAGTGCCTAAGAGTTGAATTGAGAAGCAGAGATGGGAAAACCACCCTAAGGAGACGGTGATCCAGTATGGAGGGAAAGATGAAAACAGATGAGTGATTTCTAAACCCATTTATAGTGTAGTCTTCTAGGCAGCTCTTCATGAAGACCAGTGACCTACGAACTACTTGTACCCAATGTAGTTACATCACAGGCAACCCAGGCAGCAGATTCCCAAGTATTCTGCAGCTGTAAAATGTGGCTTGACTTCCAAAGTACTGCTGGTGGTATGGCTGTTTCCAGTGCCTGCCCTAGACACTAATAATATTCCCTCCCTGGAAAACTCCTGGCAGAGAATAAGATACTCCTCTATGTGAGGTACCATGTTTCCCCGAAAACAAGACAGGGTCTTTTATTTATTTTTCCTCAAGACACCCTAGGGCTTATTTTCAGGGGACGTGTTATTTTCCCCTCAAAGCCTCAGCTTGCAGCACGCACAGGATGGCCAGGACCTGACCGGGGGAGCCGACCTTGTTGGTGGGGCTGCCCTCACCTTTCTGGTCACCTCTGGGATAGTAGCTGTCACAAAGGGGCAGATGAGAAGGGATGCTCATCTTTACCACTCCGAGACGAAATGCGTGGGCTGTGCAGATACGCTGCATAGCCACGCCCATTGTTAGGTCTTATTTTCGGGGTAGGGCTTATATTGCACAAATGCTTAGAAATCTTGCTGGGGCTTATTTTATGGGTAGGTCTTATTTTCGGGGAAACACGGTATTTACTAATCCATCTCTCATGGGAACTCGTGAATTGCTCCCTCAGAAATAAACTGACAGTTCCCCATTCCTTGGAATATTCTTTCTGCCTTCCTCCACTCATATGGAAGAAATCCTCTGAGGACGTCAGTAAGCCACCCTAGCCTACCAGTATGCTTTGCACCCAGCCTCACACGGATGCATTTACTTGAAGGAGGAAAGAGTCCAAATTTTTCAGCAACCACAACTGTAATTCTACACTCCCACCCCCAACAATTCAGAGCTTGAGCAAGAGGCTCTCTAGCCTGAGTCATCAGCCTCACCTTCTTGCCTCCTGGAGAAGAGGCATCAGGGGGAGGTGTACTCGTGATGTTCAATGGGCTGGAGCCACAGCTGGAAGGTGAGGACCCTCTTATCCTGCCAGAGAAGAAAACAGTTACATTGCCTTTTTTTTCCTAGTAGAGTATGTTTTAAGGGGTAGGAGTGAGAAAAGATGAAGATTTAGACTAGGGCTTGGCAAACTTTTTCTGTAAGGGCCAGACAGTAACCATTTCAGATTCTGCAAGGCTGTATGGTCTCTGTCATAGCTACTCCATTCTGCCACTATAGCATGAATGCAACCATAGACAATATACAAATGTGTGGGTATAGCTGTGTTCCAATAAAACTTAGTTTATAAAAATAGGTGATAAGCTGGATTTGTTCCAGCAGTCACCAGATCTAGAATGCAGTCCCTGAAATCAAGCATCTCATTGACAAAGCCCTTGGATTAGGGTTTGGATTTAGGTTGATGAATTTCAAGTGTGGCCAGTTTTATTTCTTCATAGAATCCAGATGAGTTGGAGGAGACCTTAGAAGTTTAACCTCCATCTTTGATACCATGGACTGGAATCCACAGCAAACAATTCATCCTCGTCCCTATACACACTGTTTAGCTGGTAAATACTCTTAGAAAATGAAGGGTACCAGGGTCTGAAAATAAGCAGCCAAGTAGCAATTGTAATAGCAGCCTGCTAAAGCAGCCAGCTGGGAAAGACTGGATCTGGGTCTCTCAGCTAGTGTAGCCCTCTGCATAGAAGGCTTACACAACTGAAAAGCCACCTAAACTCTAGTCAGGCTGAAGGACTTCATGAAAGGAAGCCATCGCTTGGCACTGCAGCTAAAGTTCAGGGGCAGTGTGGTAGAAACTATGTGACCATCAGGCTCTCAGCGACTACACAGATGAATGCAGCTTTTAATTTTTGAACACTCACTATACGTCAGGCTGTATTCCAGGAATTTTCCTGAGTTCCCTCACAATCCCGACACAATCCTTTAAAACAGTGCTTCCTTTTATGGTTTAAGTCAACAGAGAGTAAAAGGTAAAGTGAAATCTCCTAATCACAGTCAGGTGGAGAGACAGGCCCAGGACACAAACCCAGGTGGACTGCTTCCAAACTCCGCTTTCATATGGAAAAGAAGTTGCCCCAAAGAGAGCTGCCTCTATTCCTAGCTGATCTGCTTGGTCTCTATTATCACCGGTCCCTATCCCTGGATGTTTAGTAGCAATCTCCCACCCAGTTGTGACCAAAGGTGTCTCCAGACATTGCAAAACATCCTCCGAGGGGCAAAACTGCTAACGGAGCAACTGGATGGTGTTACTTGCCTGTGGATTTCCATGATTTCCTCAGCAATCATTCGACCTATTTTTCCTGCCCCAGCCCTTGTTCCCCCTGGAATCCCTGGAACAGTGGGGTGGGTCCTCTTTGGGCCACCTAAAACAAAAGAATCTGAGAGTGGGAAAGGGGAAAACTGAGGAAGAAATGCTATTATGTATTAAATTAAAACCAGTTCATCCCATGATCCACTTGAAGTTCAACAACAGGGTTGTGACTTGAGGGACAGTAGAGCCATAGCTTGTCAGGAAAAGGCATTCCCACAGGGAAAGGCTCAAGTTTCCTTCTAGGATAAGAGGCCAATGTGTTGGCATGAAGCATCTAATTCTTTCCCTTCAAGTGCTCATAAAAACGTTTGTTGAAGACCATTGAGCTTCATGCCAGGGTTATGGAGATAAGTCCCTGCCCTCAAGGAGCTCACAGTCTAACAAGGGCAGACAAGTTGAACAAGGCTAGAGCAAGGCGTGATAAGTTTGACAGGTAAGCACAAGGCACCCAACTCATCCAGGCCGAGGTGCAGCTTTCTGGAAGAGGTTAACTCCGAGCTGAATCTTGACAGGTGAGTACGAATTAGCTTGGCAGAGCAGTAAGGAGAGGGAAGCATTCCAGGCACAGCACCCACCACGTGCAAGAGCACTGAGGCAGGACAACACTTGGGAGACTACCCCACGGGATTCCTCATGACTGACGGGGGCCTGATAGACAAAACTGGAGCAGCAGGTACCAGGGGGATCATGAGGGCCTTGGCTACCGTACTAACGCCCGGCGCCCACATTGGGCAGGGAGTGCTAACAGACTCTGCACAGAGGAGGCATGCAGGAGGTTGGGTCGTTAGAAAGTCCACTGCAGGAGAATGAGCTCTAGTGGAGGACGGGGTGAGGAGAGTGCGACCAGAGTTAGGAAGTTATCTGCAAGAACCCAGGCAGCGGATGAGGAGGGTGCGGAGGCAACAGCGGTGATGTTTAAGAGATAGAAGGGGCAGGACTTCATGCTTAGCTATAATGAGGGAGAGGCAGGAGGCAAGGTTTCTGGTTTACACAACCAATCAGGTGGGGACTGCAGAAAATCAGTTGGAATATTCTGAATGCCAGGTGCCTCTGGGACTCCAGGTGGCTCTGTCTGGGAGGCAACTGGAGAGACAAATCTGGAGCTCAGGACAGAGACTGGGGCTGGAGATGTGGCTGTGCGAGTCATCGAGGGACAGGTGGGGACTGAAGCCCTGCCTGCCAGGGTGGGCCCTGGATGGACCAGCCCAGTGTGGAGAGCAGGGGTGAAGGCTGAGCCCCGGAGAGGGAGCCCGCTGGGACTGGCACATAGTCCAGCACTGACAGACACCTCCCAACCACAGGAGGGCTGGGACAGTCACCAAAGAGCACATCACAGCCACCGCAACACAGGAGGAAAGCACAAGAGGAGCAAAGAGTTTGCTATTTGAAGGGCTTCCAGGGTCCAAGCACCCTCAGGAAGGGCAACAACGAGTTCCCACCAGTCCAAGCTCGACAGAGAAAGTGAGATGACAGCGTCCTGAGCACTCATGGGGAAATCAGCAGCACATCACCTGCGCAAGGCCTCCCTTGTTCCACAGAATATGAAGCCAGGGGACCCCGAATACTTGGGGGGACGGTATCTGGCCACAAGCAGATCTCCCGGGCAAGCCCCGGGCCCCAGCAGTGCATAGTTACCTTCTCCAGAGGGCAGCATGCTGTCCATGCTGTGCGGGGACGCTGTGAGCTGCGGGAAGGTTGGGTCCCCGCCTTCCAAGACGTTGGCTCTGTGAACATCCCAGCAATAAGGAAACGTGAGTCAGGCCTGCTCAGAACCGTGCACCTTTCACCTTGGCCAAGGTGTCCGGTGTCCACTCTGGACCTGGACAGGCCAGAAAATGAAGTGTCTGTCTGAGTGGCTGAACTCGTCTTCTCGCTTTTTGATAGTATGAGGGACAGCACCCCGGCCTTTGGCCTCACTGCGTGCCTGGACCTTCCTGATCCGTGTGGGACACAGTCCAGCAGAGGCGGGCGCTGCAGCTGCCCACTGCCGCTGCGACAGTGCCTCCTCCTGCCAGCCTGCGGGAAACCCAGCCCAGCCCCCTGCCCAGCTCTAACCGCAGGTGGGGTTTGGACACCACAGGGAAGGAGGCGTGAGAACAGGCCCATCCTTCTCTTCCCCTGCTCACCTAGCAAGTGGCAGCCTTTGAGGTGGCATTCCAGCTGCCACTGCTCGGGCCACCCGCCCATCCTCAGCCAAGGCCAGTATGAGCCTTTCGTGGATTGTCAACCCCCTCCCTCTGCAGCAGCACAAGAGGACGCCTAGCATGCAGGACTGTGAATTTAAAGGTCGGCTGCTTCAGCTGGAAGGAAATGTTGCTGTTTCCCGGAGCAACTCCACAAGCTGGCGCCTGCATGAGGGCATTGAGGTCTGTCCTTGTTAACCACCCTTTCTGGCTTCTGCCAGTCATAAGGCTTCACAAGATCTCACTAAGATGGCATTAAAGGATGTGACGTGGGCTGCTGGCTGCCTGTACCCACTTTCCCAGGTGAGGAGTTCAAGGCATCTCTCTCTGAAGCAAGGGAGCTTCTGATACAGGAAAAACACTTACAAAACAACAGTGTTGGTTGAAACAATGTATTCTACTTCCTTGGTCCAAGGGTTCATGAAACTGAACCATCGACTCCGTAGTGTGATGAAAGAACCATCTTTGATTTTAAACTTATAGCAATTTGTTGTGATCTTTTCTCTCGTCTGTAAAACTGAAAATGCAAAGAAACCATGAACGTTGTTGTTGTTTCTATAGACCAACATACTAAACACGACACATGATACCAAATACGAAAGGTACGCAGGCTCCAACACTGTCACTCTTTAATAAGCCAAGGGAGCCCTGGCAGTCAACACTTCAAAGAACAGGTTGCTTTGGAGGGTCTAACTCAGAGCCTTTCAATTCATTTGTGAATTTGTCACTATTGTCCACAGTCTATGAAATCAAGGCCCCAGGGAACTACTGACTGCATCCTACACATCTAACTGGAATCAGCTCGGTGTGAACACCAACGAATGAGAAGGCGCTGTCCAGAGGGGCTGTGCTCTTTCCCCATCACAGACCCCAAAGGGGGAGCAGCACTTCTCACTTGTGAGGGCATCAGAATCAACAGGAGCCTCGCACCTATTCAGACCTCACTCTTTCATGTAATAAACATGGAAAGAGCCCTTTTCCCGTGTCAGGCACTGGAGATAAAAGAGACTGGATATGACTCCTGCCCTCATGAAGAGGAGTGAATTTGCCAAGAGAAGGAGGGAGGGAAGAACCTAGCAGTGCCCGAGGAATGGCAGGTCCTGGCGGGGCAGGGACCAGTGTGACGTGTGGCTGAGGCACAGGCCCCTGCAGGTGGATGGGGAGTGGAAGTGAGGAGGTGGGTGGGGCCAGGAGGTAGATGGGCTTGAATTCGAAGCCTGTTGCAGGCGTTTGGGCTTGAGTCTAAAGGCGGGAAGTATTCCTGTTCTGTATGTTTATGTATAAAAATGAGAAAAAAAAAAATAAAGGCGGGAAGTTTTTAAGCAGGGATGTGACATGATCAGGCTTGATCTATCTGAGGAAAAACGGGATAACTACAGAAGATGGACTTGGGGCAAGAGGGCGCAAGGGGACCCATTAGGATCTATCCCAGGTCTCCAGGTGGGCACAACGGCTTGAGCCAGGGTCATAGCAGTGGGGTGGTGAGAAGGGGATTCTTTGGAAATGTGTGTCTGAGGTGAGTGGACAGGATCTAATGGAGACACAGTGAAAGAAGGAGGGTCAATGTCAGTCTCTTTCTCAGGAGGCTGCGTATGTGGCCACACCATTAGTCAAGACGGAAAATATAAGAGGCAGTGCAGGCTTGTCTGGAAAAGAGAATCAGATCAGCCTAGCCATACTGAATCTGTATAGGGTCTGAGTAAACCCTCTGAACAACAGACGCCTTCTAGAAACTGCCATGGCCTCATGGCCTAGCTACAGAAAACTGCTATGCAGACAGGGTGGGGCATCTGTAAGGGGGTAAATGGTGCCCAGAGGATGAGCTTCCTCTTCACACCAGTGTCTCGGCCCAAAGAGTCCTGGGCTAGCTGGCACCCACATCGCTGGGGGCAGATTTCTCTGGAAGGTCATGTGGACTAGCCTAGCAGCAGGGGGACACTTTAAACTTAAGCTTAGCTTACCTTGCCTATGACATTCTGCAAGATGTCCTATGTCATCTTGGTGAAAATATTCATAACACGATGTGCCTAGAAGTTCTTGTGGTAAATATGCCAAAATAGCTGTTGCCCTAAAAGAATGTTTAAAGAAGAAAAAGCCATTCAGATGACTAACAGCAACTTTGCAGTGGACGAACCCTGCATGGCCCACGGGGACAAGGCCAAAGCTGGAGGCAGTAAAGCTGGGTGGGTTCTCAGAGAGCTTCGTGTGTGGATCTTTCTCTTTCTCTCTCTCTCTCTTTTTTTTTAGGCATCTGAATTTAATCAAGGTTATAAAAACAAGGAAAACAAAGCAAAGAAGACTTTTAAAGGAATTGTCATCATAAAAAAATCAAATTTTAGGTTTCAAAATGGTAACTATATTAATTGGATAAAAATGTGGTAGAAGTCTAAATCCTACCTAGCTCAAGGCTTTGCCATTTTACTGCCTCCTTTTTAGCAGGATAACCAAACACCAGACGCTAGCGGCTGAGGCCACAAGGACCTTGGAAAGTGGCTATTTCCTTTCCCAGCATTTTGTGGCTGTCTCCAGTAGCCAGAACAACCATTAGCCTGTCAATATCCTTAAGGGAGGTTGCAGGCTGCAGAAAATTTGGGGCACCCGGTTCTCAGTCCAGGACTATCACGAATGAGTTGTGCATCCTGCAGGAGGCTGGTCCCCAGGCTGGGCCTCACTTCTTCATCCATAACATGAGGATGTTGCACTAGATCAGTGTTGTCCAACAGAACTTTCTGCGATAATGGAATTGTTCCATGTCCATGCCATTGGCCACTCGTGGCTACTGAATACTTAAAATGTGGCTAGTGAGCCTGGGAAACTGAATCTTCAATTTTAACTGATTAAATTCAAATTCAAATTGCCATTATAAGCCTACTATGATGACTACTATACTGGACAGCTCAGGACTAAATAATTGCTTCCACGTCCTAGATTCCAGAATTCCAATCACAGCAATGGTCCCAGGCCATTCCACAGATTCAGACAACATGCTATGCCCACTATTCTTTTTTGGCCATGGATAGCAAACCCTCCTCACTCCCCCTACCCCCACTTAACTGTCTCTATATGCCAAAGAATGGCACAGAGAAAAATCTCTGTATTGATGATATCCTAATGAGTCTCATTTTTTAGCAGAGACCTGCATCACTTCTGTCTCTTTTTTATTCTTAGAAAAGCGAGCTGATGGCCCAGTCTTCTGTGCTTTTCAGCTCAGGTTTGAAAATCCTCTACCATTACTGCTCAAGAGTAATTTGGAGACTCTTACCTCTGGTCTACAAAAACAAACTTGCCATCTATTGCGTGCCGAGAAACATATTCCATAGATTTCACCCTGATTTCCCCGTTCACCGGTTGTGGAACCATGTGAGAATGTAGTCGTCCGATTGCGACAAGGCAGCTGAGGTTACACCCCTCGTTGTCCGGTTCATTGTCTTCATCCAGCCCCATCTTTGTGGGCGGCCAGCTTTTCAAATAGCCTGTGCTGTGTATTGTGCAGAAGCTTTTTCGATCTGCTAGAAAGCAAAGGCCGTGGTTAGTGCCGGTGCCGGGTTTGGGTCACGGAGGCGCAGGCAGCCGACGGTGGGGTGGGATGTAGGTAAGGAGTCAAAAAACAAAAAACAAGGCCTCTCTCTCCAAAAGTGAGCCTCTAGTGAAAGGGGCAGACAGAGAAACAGACAATGATCATCTGGTGTAACACGCTTAGTAGGGCTAGTTATACCAAGGGCATTCTATATACCAAGGAAGGAATATCTAAATTGAGCTGGGGAGAGGAAGGCTTCCCAGAAAAACCAATGTAGGAGGTGGATCAAGAAAGATGAGCAGTGACTAAAGGACTAGAATGTGCAAAGGGTGAGAATGCACCCGGCACAGAGGCAGAACCTGTACGAGAAACAGCAAAGACCTCTGTGTGGTTCAAGTGAAAAGGGAGGCGCTGGGGTGCAGAGCTGGAAGGCAGGTAGCAAGGGCTTTGTGTTATTTGCTAACCTACATGTTGGTCTCTTTTCAGGCAGGAAATGGAGAGCCCCCAAAGGTATTTAAGTGGGGAAAAAGCAAAATCAAATCATGGTTTGGATGCTCTAGAAGGAGAGTGGAAGAGAGTAGAAACCTGAAGTAGGAAGGCTAGTTCGGAGGCCAGGGGCAATAATACAACAAGAGATGATGAGGACTGACCTAGGGCGGTGCAGTCAGTGAAGAGGAGGAGAAGGCAAGGAAAAGAAGCAGGAGAAATTTCTTTTCTTTCTTTCTTTCTTTCTTTTTTTTTTTTTTTTGAGACAGAGTCTCGCTTTGTTGCCCGAGTCAGCCTAGCTCACAGCAACCTCAAACTCCTGAGCTCAAGCGATCCTCCTGCCTCAGCCTCCCAAGTAGCTGGGACTACAGGCATGCGCCACCATGCTCGGCTAATTTTTTTTTTCTATATATATTAGTTGGCCAATTAATTTCTTTCTATTTATAGTAGAGACAGGGTCTCGCTCTTGCTCAGGTTGGTCTCAAACTCCTGAGCTCAAAAGATCCACCTGCCTCAGCCTCCCAGAGAGCTAGGATTACAGGCGTGAACCACCGCTCCCAGCCTCTGTTCTTTTTAAAAAAATATATTTTATTTATTAGAGACAGTGTCTTGCTTTGTGATCCAGGCTGGAATGCAGTGGCACCACCCTAGCTCACTGTAGCCTCAAACTTTTGGGTTTAAGTGATCCTCCTGCCTCAGTCTCCCAAGTAGCAAGGACTACATGTGCATGCCAACACCCTGGCTAATTTTTTACTTCTGTAGAGATGCAGTCTTGCTATGTTGCCCAGGCCAGTCTTAAACTCCTATGTTTAAATGATCCTCCCCCTTCGGCCCCCTAAAGTGCTGGGGTTACAGGCATGGGCCACTGTGCCCAGCCAGAAGAAGAAATGTCTGAGATAGAACTCTTAGGATTTGGTATGATTTTCAGGCTTAAGGGAAAAAAAAGAAAATGAAGATGACTCCAACTTTTCTAGACTGGGTGGTTGCTGGTGTCATTCACTGACTCAGGGAAGAGAGAAAAGATTCCAATTGGGACACATTAAGTATGAAGCACCAGTAGATTTCAATAACAAACCAGCACGGAGAGTTTACCAAGCATGGAGGCTGTGCTGGGCACTGGAACGCAGCGGGAAACAAGTCAGATGTGCCCTCGTGGAGTTTAAAGTCTGGCCGGGGAGACTGACTTTAAACAAATAATCACACAAATAACCACGTAACTGCACCTACAGACAGCACTACACAGCAAACCTGCCGGGTGCTCTAAGAAGACAGAAGGCAGCGTGGGGCTGGCGTGAGCCAGGTGACAGGAGCTGGGGAGGAGGGGGAAGAAATCCCAGTCACAGGTGACGGCGTGCACGGGGCATCGAAAGGAAGTCGGCAGATGGGAACGCACTGAGTAGTGGCGGGGTGGGGGGCTGCGTGGTCATGTTATGTATTCCCAACTTTTCTTTAGGAGCAGCGGGAAACGTGGAGGGGCTCAGAACAGGAGGCTGACAGGAAGACGATCCTGGCCGCTGTGTGGAGGGGCAGAGAGCGGTGCAGCCTCCTTTACCAGACCTGGGTGATTAGTGAGATGCATGGAGAGCGACAGATCCAGCTAACTCCTGCAGAAGGGAGGCACTGACGCAGGACTTAGTAACTGGGGGACCGAGGGGCCGCAGTGGAAAGACAGGGTGAGGGTGCCTCCCAGGCGTCCAGCATGAGCAGCGAGCTGCGTGGAGGCGCCGCTGACACTGCAGAAGCTCAGGCGGTCACTTGGCCTGTACCGTGTTTGAGACGCCCTCGAGATATCCAAGCAGGCAGATTTAGCATACAGTTAATTTAAGAATTTGCAGTTGGCCGGGCATGGTGGCTCACGCCTGTAATCCTAGCTCTCTGGGAGGCCGAGGCAGGCGGATTGCTCGAGGTCAGGAGTTCGAAACCAGCCTGAGTGAGACGCCGTCTCTACCAAAAATAGAAAGAAATTAATCGACCAACTAAAAATATATATACAAAAAAATTAGCCGGGCATGGTGGTGCATGCCTGTAGTCCCAGCTACTCGGGAGGCTGAGGCAGAAGGATTGCTTGAGCCCAGGAGTTTGAGGTTGCTGTGAGCTAGGCTGACGCCACGGCACGGCACGCACTCTAGCCTGGGCAACAAAGCGAGACTGTCTCAAAAAAAAAAAAAAAGAAAAGAAAAAGAAAAGAATTTGCAGTTGAAAAGAGAGGTCTGGGCTGGACATACAAGCTTGGAAGTTACTGGCGTGTCAGTGGCATGTGAAGCTAAGGGAGGAGACGACATGCACTAGGGATACAGTGTGGACAGAGAGGAGCCCCAGGGCGGAGAGGAGCAGCAGTCAGAGGAACCAGGGGGAGAGTGGGAGTGGCGGAGGACAGGGAGGTGACGAGAATGTGGTTTCAGGGGATCCTGGTAACCGCCTGAGCTCCTCCGTCAGCGTCCTTGGGAAGAACTCTTCAAGACAAAAGGAAACTGAAGAGCGGCCTTTGTGTTTAGCAACGTGAAGGTCGTTGGTGAAGCAGCGAGAGCAGCTCTGGGGGACTGGTGGGTGCTCGGGAGGCAGTTAGGCCAAGAGCACTCCTTCCCCACCACGTTACAACAAACAGAATTGCAACACTGGAAGCCTCGCCACACATCCCTGTCATTGTGACCCCCCGTCAGGGCTCCTCAGCTTCCCTCCATGTGGTCAGGGCAGGGGTCCCGGCTGCAGTCCTGGGACCCGCCGCTCCGGCCAGCCGGGGACACTGAAGCCACGACGTGCCGAGAGCTCCACTCCAGAAAGCGAGCCTCGCCTGGCGTAGGATTTCAAAGAACTGTGAAATCGTTACCTTTTTTCTTTGAGCAGGTGGAGGGGAAGTCCTTGTCTTCAACCTTTACTGAAGGCCTGTTACACTTCATCCTACAGAAGAAAGAACGTCGTGCTCCAGAACATAATCGAGATGGCCCAGGGGTTATATCTGTTTTAACTGGAAGTCCAGCTGCAAATCAATACACAAAATGTGATAAACTGAGAGTAGTGTTGTCTGTCAGGAGGGGCAGCGTGACCTTGAGCAAAGCCTGTTCTTTACTGCCTCGCTGTTCATAACGATGGCAGGAGACGGACACCTCTCCCCAGTTTAGGCCCTAGCAGATGCAGTGTGGACAGGTGTGTTGTCAATCTGCAAATGTTCGCAGATTGTGGAGAACGTGCTACTAGGCGAATGGATTAGCTGCTCCGGGGGATACACACAAACACAGCAGGGGGCTCCTGGCAACAGGAGCTTCCGAATGAGAAAGGAAAACGGGAGTGCACCAGGGAAAGGTTAATAACAACACAGGATGATGTATGATTAGTGCCAGATAAACGGCGAAGACGGCCTGCGCTTCCCAGAGGAGGAAGAACTTGGGCTGGCACTCGGAGGAAGGGCAGGATTTGGATGCTGGAATGGAGAGGAGGAGACAGGACTGCCCCACGTTCTCAGCCTGGCTGCAGGCCACAGTGCCCTGGATGCTTCAGCAACACACAGGTCCCTGGCCCCCACTCTGTATCTGTGCCATCCAAACCGCCAGCCACTGGCTGCGTGCAGCTACGGGGCACCTGCAGTGTGGCTTTTCTGACTTGAGGTGTGCTGTACACACGTGTGAAATACACACAGGATTTCAAAGACTTAGTGCAAAAAAAAATAATGTAAAAGAACTTAATTATTATAATTATTATGTATAGCAATAACAATATTTTGGATTTACTGAGTTGAATGAAATATACTATTTAAGTTAATTTTTCATTTATTTTTTATTTTTTTAAATATAGCTACCAGAAAATGTAGAATTATACACGTGGCTTGTGTTTGTGGTTTGCATTGTGTTTCTGTGGGGCCGGGCTGTCTGGAAGGAGCAAATTAGAATCCCTGGCAGTGGAACACGGTGACACTGTGGAGCTCCCCAGGTGACTCTGAGGCGCTGCCTCCTTGCACGGCCCTGGCCACGGGTCAGCACAGGGCTGGGGGAGAGCACCCTGCCGTCAGCCGGCACGGGAGCAGTTGTGCTAAGCAGTGGCTGCTGCCTGGGGCTCTCCCCGCCCGTCTACCGCCCACACTGCCACCTCCGTGGTCTTTCCCATAATGCCAATCTGACCCTATCCCACCTGGCTCAGAGCCCTTCACTGTGTCCCACAGATCAAAAGGTCTTTGTGGTCCAGCCCGATGCCTCCCTGCACGTTTTGTCTGACAGCACCAAGCAGGCACAGGGTCCCACACCCGCCTCGGTCCACAGAGCGTTTCCTCTGCTCTTTTCCCCCCCTCGTCACCTGGCAAACATTGATTCATCTTTTCAAACCTATCTCAGCTGTCATCTGCTCGGTGAGGCCTGTCCTTGCACCCACGTGAGAATTAATCATCCCGTTCTCTGTGCCTGGCACTGTTTCTGTGGCTGTACCTCTTATTATGCAGGCTGCTGCTGCCTCCTTGCTTCTCTGGCTCTACGGTAATAGCCTCAAAGGCAAGGACCACACACATTCATCCCATCCTCCTTGGGCCACTAAAAGAATGCCAAGGCCAGGCTATAATATAAAGGGCAACAGATACCAAAGATTGCATATTACTTCTAGGAAGAGTAGAAGTAAAGAGTAGTGCCTTAATGAAAAGGATGTGTTAGAGGAAATCCCTCTGGTTGTGTCTCTCTCCAGGGATTACATGGAGAGCTAAGAAGCAGGACACCAGTTAGGCCATGACTGTACTGGGCCGAGGTGAATACAGCACTGATACTGTACTATGTGCCAGGAACTGTCCCGCCTGCTTTATCTATATTAACATATTGAATCCTCACACCAACCCAGTGGAATAGGAACTATTTCACAGATGAGGAAATTGAGGCACAGAGAGGTTAAGTAACTTGCCCAGGGTCACACAGCTAGTGAATGGTGGAGCCAGGACAGGAGTCCAGTAACCTGCCTTTTGGGTCTATACTCTTAGCTGGGGGCCTGCAGAGCCTCCCAAAGGGCGGAGGGGACAGCTACAGGGGCCTCACACGCAAGTGGGTGCAGGGGTGGGAAGTTGGGGACAATGAGAATATTGGTCCAATGCGTTAAGAAGAAAGCCAGGAGCAGAGAGGAGCGATCTGATGAGGGACTACTTGAGAACAAATCAAACTCAGCCCTTTAAACTCAGTAGCATACAACTGGGAGTTTCTAGATTCTGAAAAAGAATTCTAATCATCAGAAAGAATCATGTCAAAAGAGCTGTACTTCCTCCCAATAGACATTGAGTATTTTTTCTTCTTTATGTAAAACAAACACAAAAGAACATAAATGTTCCATTTAGCCAAAGATAGCCCAGGTGCCCCAGAAAAAGGGAAGAGGTGGGAGCAGAGGGGCTGAGCCCACAGCACACACTGGCTCTCCCGGCCGGGCCGGTCAGCGGAGGCCGCCCGCGAGCCGCTGCCGAGGACACGCCAGGCCTTCTCCTCCACTCACTTTTTGCATCTATGAGCCGCTCCCGGGGTGTGGTGTCGGAGGAGGAGAGCTGCTCCTTGACTTTGGTGATATCTTTAGGGTGCAGGTAGTCAAACAAACTCTGACCGATCAGATCGTTCTGCGGGGGCGAGATGTTAAAAATGTCGGGTCAGTCGCGTGATAAATTATGCAACAAGTGCTCACAGTCCATAACATCCTTTGCTTTTATACTGTATTTTTAAGCATGAGCTTTCAAATACTGAAAACGTGAACCTGTGTGTATGTCCAGCCACTGTGCCTAGATACAGGCACAAGGGAAGAGGCATCAGGAGATTGATTTTGATAACATGTGAGAGGGAAAAAGGAGGCTCAACGATATAAACAGTTCATGCTCCTCGAAGGCAAGAAGCCTGGCTGTATGTCTTCTTCTCCGTTCATTTCTGAGGCCCACAGACTCCCCTGTAGGCCCTCAGAAGGGGCACGCAGGGGTGGGCTCCGACCCAGCTCTGCTGTTCAGCCTCTGCGCTTAAGCAGCTCATGTGATATCGTATGCCTCTGTCCCCTTACCTGTTAAAAGAGGTAATAGAAACTTCCTCCATAACTTTGCGCTGAGACTAAAAAGAGCAAAACACTTCGGAAAAACTAAATTTACATTAACTCTATGTCATTTTGATCCCTCAATTCTTCTGTCTATTTGGTTCCATGCAAATACCAGTGTGTGAATGAGTGAATGAATAAATAAAAACTTTGGGGATATAATAGGTGAAAAGCTCTGTTCTAGATACTTCCATAAATGTTAGTCTTATTTGATACCACAAACAATCATGAAAGGTATTGGTTATTATAATAAATTTTTAGAAGAAGTGGAACAGCACTAATAAATGACACATCACTGCAAACACAGTAGGGGTTAAGTTCACAAGTTTTCTTCTCATTCTCTGTTATTATAATAGCTGCCTGCCTTTCTCCCTTGTCAGATAGACTCTCACTCCCCGACCCAACCCCATAGTTGTAGGACATTTATTTTACACCAATTATAAAGCTATAATGCTATTGATCAAGTCAGAGTCAGATTTTTGTTTGTTTTTTTTTTTTTGAAACATGGTCTCGCTGTGTTGCCAGGGCTAGAGTACAGTGATGTCATCATAGCTCACAGCAACCTCAAACTCCTGGGCTGGAGCAATCCTCCTGCCTCAGCCTCCCGAGTAGCTGGGACTACAGGCATGCGCCACCATGCCCAGCTAACTTTTCTCCTTTTGTAGAGTCAGGGTCTTGCTCTTGCTCAGGCTGGAGAGTCAGGTCTTTAAATGAGGGAAATATTGAAAGATTTTTCTGAGTTTAAATTCATTTTTCTGTTAAAAAGTTAAGAATTTTCTGGAAGAAGGATTTTACATGTGACTTGGACACTATAATTATTCTGCAAAGTGGGATGACATTTCTGACTGCTGGGAGGCTGCCCACCACCACTGAGAGTGTAAACCATACCTGGCTGTAGTTGAGGATCTTGAAGACAGACTCTGAGACAAAGAGTATCTTCCCTCGGTCACATCCTACGACAAACAAAAATCCATCTGCTGCCTAATCAGGAGAAATGGACAATCAATTTATCACACTTTAGGAAACATGATTTGTAATCACCCTGATAGTAAATCAAGGATTTATTTTCTAAGTGTCCAAAGCACAGGAACACTCATTGATAGTTTCACTGGTATCCCAAGAAAAGGACACTTAAAACAAATTCCTTATGAGAACAATATGATTCTCTCCAAGGCAGACAGGGGGTGTGTGTGTGTGCATCTCCATATATTATCTAATAACTACAGGGAAAAGTCCAATTAAAGTTAGTTCTAATTCAAAGCAGAATTCAGTTTAAGAATTCTCTTTTCATCATATGGCAGTGCACAGAAATCGTTTTTCATTGCTCTGATTACAACATCCCTGTGGAGAATCAGCATCTGAGATTGAAAGGACTCTTTAAGTCTTTAAGATCAGAATTCCGTCTTCTAACTCTCAGCCACCATCTGTCCTCAACTTGAACACCTCCATTTACAAGGGAGTGCTCTAGAATAGCGGTTCTCGACATTTGGAATGGTGCTTTTTGTTTCTGTTTTGATGCTGATGGTCTGGCATGGGGCTGCTCACAGGGGTTTTATTTACCCTCCACCTCACTCGCACCCCAACATAATTACAGTGTATGGGGGCTGAGAACTGCTGCTCTCAAGTAGCACCCCTCAATCGAGGGCTGGGCTATTTGTATTCTAAGTGAGACAAGGAAAGCAAAGCAAAATTTTCCTTTAGATTCTTCTTAGCCCTTTTCCAATTTAAATACAGGTAAACATCCACAGTGCCAATATAGACAAGTATAAAGACTGAAGCAGTTAAGTACCAAAGCTATAGTGCCAGAAAGCCTTATCTGTTCTGTCTACAGGGGGGCAGACTCCAACCCACAGCCCCCCAGGTGGGCGGCCGGGCGCTCCCACCCTGCCGTGCACCTGCTCTCAGGACTCAGCTCCCTGGTTCTAATACACAGGGGGCCAGTCTCTCACCTTACTCACTGATTCTCAGTCTGCTCCCTGGAAAAATCCAGAGAAACTCTGTTCCCTTGTCTGCAAAAGGGCCTTTGGGAAGTAGTTTAATTCAAAGAACTAGGAAATGAATGCACGTGCCAGAAAGTAAAAGGAGGGTGTGCGAGGGTGCTGGGCTGCAAGCAGGGCGCGGGGGGCGGAATCCCCGCTGCTGTGAGAACCTGGCAGGCCACCCAGCCAGAAGGAAGCCGGGGAGGATCCTTTCTTAAGTTAGGTCCCTAAGCGGGCCCAGGGGCAAGGCATGACAGTGAGGGGGAAGTAACTTTCCAAGCACCATCTGCTGGAAGCCTCATTCTGTCAAAAAATAGGGTATTAATAACTTCCTCATTTGCCTTGCAGACAATCTCGTATCTCACAAGAGAAGCGTTGAGGCTTTTCATTGATGTGGTGATGTGGCTGGAAAGGTGCCTGGCAAGGCGACCATGGCACCTAGGGGAATGCTGGGCAGGGTCGGGGCTGAGCTGAGACGTGGAACAAAGTGGATTCCAACACCCCGGGGGACAGTGAGAGCAGCCAGGCAGGGCGGGCTCCGGGCAGTCCAGCTCCACTGCACTCTGGCAAACAAACCCTCTGGTGACAGGGCTGGGCCCGAGGGACAGCTAAGGGGCAGAGGTGTGTGAGCACCAGGAGGCCACACGGCGCCCAGGGGCAGGCTCACTCCTGGGGAAGAAGATGCTAGCCAATGAGTGATGCGGATGCCCTGGCATGGTCTGCCTAGTTTTCAAAATACGGGGAGGCAGAGTATCCAGACATTACAGACGGACGCGGCTGACTGATCCCTGACACGCAGTTCACGTAAGATATTTTGAAAGTGCTTAAGAAAGCAGGCAGTGAGATTTGCGGTGGTGAGGAAAAGCAGAAGCCCAGGTCCTGTTGCCAGACTGTCCAAACATCGTCTGAGCGGACCCTGCCTCCTGCTGAAGCAAGTCCCGGGAACTGGGCACCGGGAGTGGCGAGGGCTGGGCAGCTTTCACGGCCGCCGGCACGTGCCCGAGGGGAGAGGACTGTCACTGGAGAAGACAGGTCACCACGAGTGCCGTGCGAACAGAGCAGCAGAAAAGGCAAGATGAAGTACTTAGTCTGGACAACTGCAATCCTCGTCCCCACCCTGGTGAGTGTCGGCATCTGGCAGGAAATTATTAAGAAAAGCAGCAACAAGGAAATTATTAAGAATATGTCACCGCAAAAGGACCTTGTATGTGTGTGTGTGTATATATATATATATATAAAAATTAAAATATATGTACTAATACTTTTCTCTTAAAACAATCAAGTTACCAGTATGGTAACCAGGACCGGCTGCATAATTCGTGGGGCCTAGAATAAAAATGACAATGCAGAGAACCTTGTTCAGAAATTAAGATTTTCAAGATGGCAACAGAGCATGCCCCCGAGCACGGGGCCCCGTGTGACTGCAGAGGTCGCACGCCTGTGAAACCGGCCCTGATGAGCTCCAGGGATGCTGTAGGCAGAGCCCATGTTTTAACTCCGGCGAAGGCTCTCTGGGAACATGGGCATTTTATGAAAAGAATGGAGAGGTGTGCGCAGTTAGGTCTCTGAATTAAGCGCGGAGAGTGGTAACCAAAGGGCCAGCACTCACTTGCTAGCAGGCCTGGGCCCCACTCTGAGTGTTCATCATTGATTTGGATGCTCCCAGAACAATGCCACACATTGTTGAGTTCATGAACAAAAGAGAATGGACGACACAGAGGCAGCCTATCACATCTCTAAGTCACATCTACAAGATTCAAAGGGTCACTAATGATAAGCTGGACCGTGGGGTCATTCAACAAATAGATTTTGACAGAGATAAAATAGAAGTCCTATCTTCAGTTCAAAACAACACAAACTGTACCTATATAAGACGCAAGAAACCTGCCCTAACAATAATTTGTGTGCAAGAGAGTTGGGGTGGGCAGTACTGCAGCTGCCCAAAATGATGCTATGGCAAAGGAGGCGCCAGCCCCATCCAACCTCAGGCCAACTAGGCTGTAGGTGAAGCGCTGAGCCACTCTGAGAGGGAAATCTGGCAAATGCACGTGGCTCTGGAAAGTGTGGGTTGCAAATACTGCTGGGGTCCAATTCCCAACCCTATTCCCAACCATCCTTCTCTCTTGCCTGTCTCCATATAGAGGCTGAAAAATCCACAGACACTTGTTTCTGCACCCTGCCTTGCGGCTAGGGGTGACCAAGTGACATACTTCTGATAGGCTGATGTCTACCGTTAGGCTTCCAGGAAGGTGTATCCTTCCTGATGTAAGAGCCAGCCAGCCCAGAGCCTCCCCCACCCCTTTTATCTAGTCGGTCTGGCTATGCAGACCTGGCGCAGCTGTCTTGCTATGTTAAGGAAACATGCTAGCAGGAGAGCGTAGCATGGCTGAGGGCAAAGACAGACAGAACCTGGCTCCTACTGACCCACAGTCCAGCTTACCATGGAACCACCACAGCAACCCCGCACCACCTACTCAGGACCACTTATACTTGAGAATTGAAACCCTATTTATCCATTAGATCTTCAGTTTCTTGCTGCTGAACAATTTCCAACTTGATACAGCATGACATGAGGGGATGACTAGAGACTACTGGCGTGAGCAGACAGGCCACGCTTACTGAGAGCCTAAAGCCAGGGTGAGATGAAAATGGATAAAGAGGATGCAAAACTCCCGCTGGACTATGCTCTACCCTGAGGCTTTGTAAACTTCTGCTCAAAGATGGGTACCAAGATTCTGCGGGAGCCTGGGTAGGCAGGGCCACTCCTGGCTTCGTGGGAGGTAGGAGTGGGTATCGTTCCTTTTAGTTAGGTATTTTTATTTTTTATTATTTTTACAATTTGCAAGACAACATGTTTCTGAATCCAGTTTCTTTCTCTTCAGTTCCCAAATTAATCTGACTCTACGTAGCAGCATGCCTTGGAGTCCTGTGCACGGAGCCAGCAAGCTCCTACGGCGCCACCTGAACCACTTCTGCAGAGACTCAGCAAGACAAAAAGCACTAAAGCCAAGCAGGCTAACGCACCCACCTCTTCCATTTATTTTCTTTTTTGAGCCACTTAGTCTGGAAGTTTTGTTGTTTTAATGGGATTTTGGTATAAAGATTTAGGTGGACCTTTTGGTGCCAGTAGTTAATCAGGACAAGAGAAACTCCCAACTGTTGTCACTTTCCATCCCTTTCTAAATCTTTTTTTTCTTTTTTTTTTTTTATTTTTATTTTTATTTTTTTTATTTTTTTTTTCCTTTTTGTTTCTTTTCCTTTCTAAATCTTCATGCAGAAATGTGATTGCTTTTTTTTTTTTAAAGAAATATGATTCTTCAATCCCTCCTATTTTTAACAAAATCATGCCTCTTCTGATTCAAAATCACAGTAGCACAGACCTTCCATTTTTGCCTAAGCAAGGTTAGAAGAGAAGGAGATAGGGTGTGGAAGGACTGAAGGCTGTCCAAACAGTAAGAGAGCGTAAAAATGTTTGGTGTTGAGACATCAAATTTCCACATGCAGGTACTTACTCTGAAATTTATACAAACAAATGTTGTGTAAAACAATCCCACATTTGCAACATACCCTGAGAATGAGGTGTTTCAGTTCATCGTCTGATAGAAAAGTGGGTTTGTAGTTTGCTTCTGTATATGGATTGGTGGCACCTTAGGGGTAAAAGAAGAGGAAGAGTTGGCACATTTTATATTCAGACAACATCTCATTCTACTTCACTGCCTCAAACCGTCTGCATGTGGCCTGGTCCCTACCACCTAGGGTTTCAATTTTATCTTCTTTTTCCTTAACCGAGACAGGCCTAGCTCTGGCTTTGAACAGAATCCTGTAATGCCAAGGAGAATTCCATTGAAAAGAGAACACTGTTGCTGCCCACAGGAGACTTAACAAGTTTGCTTTTCTCATTACAGAAAAAAACCAAGAGATAATAGAAGGAAGTTAAAAATCTGCTTCTAAGAGACAAGGCAGCTTGGGAAACAAACTGGTAGCAGCTCTCCTGGGAGGGCTCCCTCCTCCCGAGATTGTATTAAACAAGTTGTCTAGCAGTCCCTCAAATCACCACTCTAAATGTTCTTGGGAAATCATGCAGCCTGCCAGGCCCTGAGCAAATATAGTGTAGAAGGCATGTAGCGTGAGTTCCTCTTCATCAGGGGGAGTTAAATGAGCTTGGCGACCCGGGGAAATGCATCACTCCAGCAAATGCAGCTCTAGTCCCAGGACGGAAAGGGGACAAGACTTTTGTTTAAAAGGCTGCCAGTCTGGCATTTTTCAGGAGAACAATAACTTAACAGAAAAATGCCAGCAGTAAATGACTCGGAATGTGTAGCATAGCGAACGAATAAGATGACAGGGATCTATAATGCTCAAAGTCCCACGGGGAAGCAGGTCAACAGGATGTGTTTGTGACTTTCATGTCAACTAACATAACAAGGCACTGTTGATCCACATCCTCATTTTTTATTAGAACTTGAGATGTGCTACCTTTTCCTCATAATTTAGTAGGAATTAGTTTATAATAATTTAACTCATATCATTTTGATAGTATGAATTTTTAAATGCCATTCTCCAAGCAGAGGACACAGCATTTATATTTTTGAACGACGATCAAAAGTCAGACAAAAGCAGCTACTTCTAATTTCTGGTAGCTTTGTACAAATATAAAGACACACTTCTTTTACCATGCTGGTCAGAGATCTGACTGAACGCCCACTTTCCAATTTCCTCCAAAAGTCTAAGACTAGCTATGGAAAATTCCAGGAACAGCATTTACTGAAATGCCTGATACAATTCAAATTTCTCTCGTGGTTTGGATAAGTCACTTCCACTTTTCTGCCTCTGTATTCTCACCCTCCCCACACTCAGAAAAGAAGGGAAACACTGCCTCCCTCACAAAGAGCCGATCTGGTTCAGGAAAATTCCAGGAAGATGAAAATATCCTCAGTGTTCATTCCTGACAATAAAACGCTGTAAGAGCCATCAACCAGTGACTCACGCTTCAAAGGAACCATGATGAATTTTCCCTCTTAAAAACCGAAACTGACTTTTCTGTGTCATTGTGTGCTTGTTATAATTGTAAGGGTGGGATCCAAGCGCACGCATATGCGAGATGAAACATCAGCGGTGTCCTCTCTAACATGCACGTAGCCCGATTATGTGCACGTACAGAGACGTGCAAAGCACACAGCTTATACGCTCTGAGGATGCGTGACTGCAGAATTGCATCTCGATACCCACATGAGCACAATAATCACTTCATCTGGCATTACGGCTATCGCTGAAAAGCACAGGCAGATTCCTCAAGGCTACATGTTTGTAAGTCATAAACATTTGCCTTGGGGACTCAGGAACATTCTAGGCAAGGGTCGTTAACATTTGTGGGCAAAGACATAAAGGACCATAAAGCCCGGGTCTCACCTCTTAACGTTTTCATGTGCTGAACAGCCATCCTTAGTACAGTAAGTTTGTCTAATTTCCTGGACATGGCGTTGCACGTTGGTACCAAAGAAGCCAGTTCATCAATAAAACTGTTCATTTTATCCCGACGCCGCTTTTCAATCTGACTGTGAGCTTCCCTGTACAACAACATGAAAAACAATTTCTTATAAAATGTAATCAAGCATCGAGGAAAACGACAAAAGCAAGTGAGTTCTAACTGTCTTATTCATCTGACAAGGCACATTCGGAATTTGCAGAATGTCTCAAATTAGACTTTTCTACTAAAGTCACCTAGAAAATGGTCTCAGTGACAGGTATTAGTTTTTTTACGCTTACCTCATCTTTAGAATTAAGGAGAAAAATTCCAAACTCATTGACTAAGGCGCCCCATAATGACCACCCAGAACCCCACCTAGACGCAGCAGATGTGACACATTTCCAAGAGCTTCCTCCGAGGCATGTCACACTCCTCCTTCCCAGGAGTGGCCACCTGCTGAGGCAGGGTGGCACTTCCCTGGCACCTTCTCTCCCTAACTGGTCTGCACCTGCCATGGCGCTGTCCTCCTAAGGAGGTGCAGCAACACTGGCGATTGCAGTTTGCTGCAGCTTCTGCGGATACAGAGCCATGGGCCCCCTGCAGAGGCTGGTCTGCCAGAGAAAAGGCAGAATTCTTAGGGCAGCCAATTTCTGCAGCCCCCTGCATCTATGTGCCATGACACAGCCTCAGATGGTCATGGTACCAATGGCAGAAGAGCCCAAGGACCCATGGGAAGGGGTCAGCAAGTGTGACTGGAGGCAGAGAATCTACTCGAGGGAGCTGACGTGCCCCATGTGTGGCCTTCGTTGCAACTTGCAGTGCAACAGGAGCGCCTTTCAGAGGCAAGGCACAGCCCAGGAATGGAGTCACGGAGCCATATCTCCTCTGAAGGGCCCTCAAGTCAGGAAGGCATAAACTGCTGAAGATTGGGGGAAATCTTGAGCCTTGATTGATTTTCTGCTACCTCCAAAGTCCCCTTTAGATTAAGTGTGCTTAGACAGCAGAGACTAAAGGCCAGCTAAGCCTAGAGAGAGTGGAGGGCAGAAGGCCACATCAAGCCAAGGCCCATGACCTGTCCCCTGTTCCTTAAGGATGAGGACGTAGACAGTGCCTAAAAGGACTGCTAGACAGATGGGACCAAACACATAGAGCCTCCTCAGCTGCCCTCAAAGCAACCAGAACCAGGACAGTTTATAGCCAAAAGGAGGGCCCAAGCTTACCTTGCATTTTTGATCCTTCCTTGGTGCTCTGTGTATTCTAACCTGGAAAAAAAAAGAAGGAAAAAGATAAAAACATAATTCCCTGGAGAGGAATGGCCAAGTTACACACTGCTGTTTTCTTCCTGCCCGATCCCTGTCATCTCCCTACAGACACACGTGGGGACTAGGGGATGGAGGGAGACAGTCTGAGCCCACAGCTCATGGCCTCCTTGCTCATCTCCAATTGAAGACATGGGTGGAACCTGCCCCATGTAATAGACTGTGAAATCGTGCAAAGAAAATGCCCATAAAAATGTTGAAGTTCAAATTACTAGGTTCATGGTACCTTCCGTGAGGGTCATCTTTGTCTGTGTCCATGCTTTCTCTGAAAAAACAAGAGAGAATGTGACTGCATATTAATAAACACATACAGAACAGCTTTTTACCGTAAGACAGAAGGTGCTCATTTATCCAGAAATCAAACATTAGAAAGCTCAAATGGTCTCAGTATTGATTAATCATGTATAATAGTAAAACAAACAAAAATGATTTATTTGAACCTATTATAAAAATTGGCTTTCAGATTATCAAATAAAAGATATAGTCTCAACAGAGATTATGTGTTAACGTATATTTTACCATATTTTGATTGTTTGAAAATTGGGAATACACAGTGTTTATGAAAATGCTTAGTTAACCACAGTATCCAAATATCTATAACACCTCACTCCCCCATGATTCTGGATAAATGAAGCTTATTCCACTTGCAAAACATACGAAGCATCGAAGATACCTGTGCCTGTATATCTATTTGATAGGGAATGGGGTGAAGTGAGGAGGGGGAATTAAAGTACTGATAAAGAAGAACTGAGCAGAGCCCCAGGCAGTTCTGGAAGGCACTGCTACCAATGTTCTGTTTACCACCTAGCTGGGAACCCCTGGGCTTGAGGAATTGGAATGGAGGGGAGCGGAGGGCTGAAGGCCACAGAGGGTCCTTGGGTCACACAGGGTCTGCCTCCCTCTCACAGACTCCACACATCCAAGTGTCGTGGCATCTTGTGATTCAGTAGAAAACAGACTGAAATGCCCGGAGGAAGGAATTCCAAATCCCCCTCGGGGTCAGCTCATTCCCTTCTCCAGCCCATAAATCTATCAGGAGGGTACTGACAGCCACCTGGGCCTCTCTCCCTTCTCCTTTATCCCGTAAGAAAGGAGAGATTATGGCCCTTTGAACAATGTAACGTCACGGGCAGAACAACTGTTTCTAGGAGCACTGGACCACATCACGGGCTTTCTAGAACGGTATTCCCAGCTCGGTGCCCTTGGTTTCCTTGAAGGCAGAGGGTTTCTCTGGCTAGTCCTCAAGCTCAGGAGAAATCACCAGGCCGCATGGGGAGAACAAAAACTCCCCCTTCCTCTTTTGTCTAGAATCATACCTGCTCCCTGAGGCCAGGTGATCCGGAGAGGCCAGGTGCCAGGAGAGGCAAAGATCTGCCTGGCAGTCCCATGTGACTTCAGTACGTCAATGTGACAAGGAAAGGGAGTATGGTTGCTTTGTTAATCGAGTCCCCATGAATTACAGATTTGCAAAGTGGGGTACATGAGGGAAAACTGAAGGGCCTCGGGTGGTGACGAGGCTGGAAACCGCCAACCTAGACAACAGAGGTCTCAGAGCACACCGGCAGCTCCGCGACACTCGCCCAAGACAGAGGGTTCACGGGAAGCGTCTCGCGGTCTCTGTGCGGGGCAGTCCTGCCACGGAAGAACACCCTGGCGGCCCTCACACCCCCTCTCCAGCCCCTGGGCATTGTTGGCTCTCTTAATTATCTGGGATAACTTACATATTAATCATAGCATCTCCTAGTGGGCATCTGACCTCCAGCCATTGTGCTCCCCAAATTCGACCTGTGAACTTCAGCAGAAAGGACATCTGCTGTAGGGGGATACCTCCTTGGAGATTTTCCCTCATTAAACAAAAGAAAACCTCTTACATGGACATTTGGGTAAGATTTCACGCAGTTTGCCTCAGCAAAACAAAATGTGCCTTTGACTATTCTACGCTGCCTTATTCCCTGGGTGTCTGTAGGTATAGAGAAGATTGGCTCTAAGTGTGAAGATTTACTGACTCCAAATAAGAGTCATCAAGTCTAAAAAGGAACAAAAATACTATTTAATATAACAGATTCATACTAATTTAAATAATGTTTAAGGACATATCACTGTTCTTAAATTGTTTCCAGAGAGGACCTCTATTCATTCCAGACGTTCATTAGGCAACAGACACTCTCAGTCTCCCTCGGAGAGGCCCCAGGCAAAGCTCTCCCGGAAACCCCTGGGAGGATATCCATAGACTTAGTTCCGATTGCTCCAAGGAGCAAAGGAAGGGGAAGAAAGGGGTAAAAGGAGGAACTTGGCCTTAAGGCTGTTCTTTTTCCTTTGCCTGGAACAATCTGGGGATGGGAGGGAAAGTAAATGCCTCCGGCTTGCAAGCCTGGGGAATAAAAGACAAAACCAACCGTGTAGCCACCTACAGTCGGGCCTTTTACTCCCATCCCTTCTTCCAGGAGAAACAGTAGCTGGCCCCTAGGTGTTCCACGCCCATGAACAAGAGGAAGACAAACCCCACAGGGCTTACTGGTAGTCGGTGGAGCTGCCCTTCCGCTTGCGGTTGCAGTCCACGCCGCTGGTGCCGAGGGAGCTGGACAGCAGGTCGGCGGGGCCCGAGGACATGAAATCACTGATGGTTGAAGAAATGTCCATTCTCTGGTCTGCCATTGGATGCTCTGGAATCGTTACAAGGGAACACAGAGGCGTGCTCATTCCAACGTGCTCTTCTCAAGTGGTGGAGAACCCCGGATGGAGGGACTCAGGGCTGGTTCACAGCCACATCTCTTTTGTTTCCTCTTTTTTTACTTTTTTAAAAAAATTTTCTATATGAAGGGGTGGAGGGTTGTGAGGAGGGGTGCTCAGTTGCTTTGTTTGTTTTTGTTGAGACAGAGTCTCACTCTGTCTCACTCTGTAGCCCTAGAGAGTAGCTGGGACGACAGGCGTGGCCACCACGCCCGGCCTACAGCCACATCTCTTACCGGCCAACCTGCACAGGCAGGCAGCAGAATAGAAAGAGTGTCATGCTTATTTTAAGACTTTCTGTAAGTAATTTAGGCCCACCAGCTCATTTTTCTGGTGGAGACACAAAAGCCCGGAGAAGCTGAGTGGCTTCTCCTAGGTCCCTGTGCTGCAGCGTGGAAGCCCTAAACCAGAACCGAGGCTCTAGGAGCTACAACCCTGCACTGTTCCCCGAGGGGACCAAGTATCCCAGATAATCTCTGACAGTCCCAATTCTAATTTTTCTTGTCAATATATATATGATCAATGGAATAAAGAAATGTGATTTGCTTATTATCTCTGCACTCCTGCTATGACTTTTGTAAAAGCTGTAGAAGAGCAGAAAATGTCCTTTCTTACACTCCAAGTCCTACTTGAGAATCAGGAAAATATGGTCCCTCTCTATACTGGCCCAGGCCAAGTCCGTTGTTTTCCCCCACTGTCCTTTTGTACCCAGCACCCTGTGTAAGGAAAATCGTGCATAATGAAATGAAGACACTATGAACAAATTTGGCAAACATATTGAAAATTTTAAAGCATTAAGTAAATTGGCTCCCAAAAAGAAGCTGACAAGTACCTTGCAACTCCAAACCCAGCAGAGGAGGTTGTGCCTGCTGCAGTCAGGGGTCTGGGCTCTGCGCAATAGGAATGGAGCTGTCACTCCCTCCCTCTGGGCCCAGGTTCCCTCATCTGCAAAACAAGAGGGTAGGTGTGAGCTACTGTTTTCCACTATATCACTGTTATGCCCACAGATTAGTGAACCCGTACCCGCCCTCCTTGGGTGTGTGCCACTTTTTCACTTTTACCAGCATTGCTGCAGGGAACGTCTTTGTGCAAGTATCTCCTTGCATGTGAGCTATTATCTCTTAGAATAAATTTCTAGAGTGGGCCTGCAAGGTCAAAGGGGACACGCATTGTACATTCTGGAACATACTAAAGCACCGTGCTCCAGAAAAGCTCCCAGAATTTCTATCCCCAGCAAGAGCTCTTGCCAATCTGAAGGGGGAAAAAGAAAACCTCCTTGCTTTTATTTGCATTTTCTAATTATTACTGATGGTGCTCCCATGTTTACAGGCCTTTCTCTGTCTTCCCTCCCATCTTCTCATGTTCTGTTTTTCTACGGCAGGGGCCACCTGCCCCGTGCTCACCTGTGTACTGCGACATGGCCTCAGAGGCCTGCAGCGCTGGCCAGCAATCCCCACTCCCCGGCCAATTACTGTCCCACTCTGCTGTGAGGACTCCGAACTCCATACCCGCTCCTCGAACCCTGACACCTGCAGTCCTCACCCCCGTTTGGCTGAGCGCGGGCTGCCCGCAGCCGCCAGCCCCCTAGGCTGCTCAGCGGGAGGATTCTCCAGCGCCCGCCCTGCCGCCACCTCCCTGCCTACTCAACGCCGTCGCTGCAGAGCCCCCCTCTCCCACCCAGTCCTGCGTCACCCACTTTCCCCGTGCTACTGAATCATTCCCATTCGGATAACAACATGAGTTACATAACTGCCATCTTGGGAAAAATAAACTTTTTGGAACACCATCCTCCTCCAGCTACTGTCCCATTTCTCTGTCCCAGCTCTTTTCCTCGCGTTCTCCATAAGCCAACTCACATCAGGCGTTTGTCCCCACCGTTCCTGTAAAACAGCCCTTGCTGTGTTCGCCAGTGGCCTCCCCAGGCTGGACGCAATGGCCAGTTCTCCACACCCTCCTGCCCCCACCCGGCAGCACCCAGAGCGCAGACCTCGCCCTCGCTGTTGTCTCGCTTTCTCGGGGGGCTCCTTCTACCTCAGTGGCCCCTCCTTTGCACTCTTTAGCTGGCTCCTCCTTGCCTCCCTCCCCTCTAAATGAGGGTCCCCTCATGAGTGGGACCTCTTCTCTGTCTAGACTCGGTCTCTGGGAGCTCTCTCTAGTGTCACTGCTTCAAGTGCTGCCTACACTATGACAACTCCCAAATCATCCCCAGCCCGGATGTCTCCCCGAAGGACAGATTTGCATAACCAGCCACCAGGACATCTCCATCTGACTATACAACAGAGACCTCACACTGAAACATCCACAACCAAACCCGATTCCCCGCAAGCCAAGCCCCGCCGTCATTCCCGTGGCAGTCAGTGGTCCTTCGGTCCTAGGAGTCGCCCTGCCTCCTCTCCTTCCCAGCCTGCTTCCGATCCATCGGCAAAGCCCGTCAGGACCACGTTCAAAAAACAGCAAGTTCTATCAGCTTGACATTTCACCCCTTGTCTCTTTTTCCCTTTGTATCTCTGCTCAAATGTCATGTCATCAGTGAAGCTCCTTGAATATCCGCATAACACAAACCCTGCCAACCCTCCCTAACCAAGCCCCCTGCTTGTTTTATCCACTGCCCTTATCAAAATGTGATCTACAGTAATTTACCCTTTTTACTGACTGTCCTCCCCATTAGGCCATAAACACCAGGAGAGCAGGGATATTATTTGCTGCCATGTCCTTACTGCCTAGAACACTTCCCAGCACATAGTCAGTGCTCAATAAATGGATGTCGAATGAATTAATAAACAAATTTGTATATGAATTCTTTCTTCATCCTAGATATTATAAATACTATTTTTCCCTTTTTGCCTTTTAGCTTCGTTTATGGTGTTTATATGTGGTACTAAAAGTGACATATTTTAAAAAGCCTTTTCTCTCCTAATATATTTATTCTCTTTTATTAATATTTTTACAATTCTACCTAGCACTTTAATTCATTTGAAAATTATTTTGGTATATACCTTGTAGGACAGAGGAAAGGCAGAGGAATTTGTAGGACAGAGGAAGGGCAGAGGAATTTTTCCAATTGTCGGGAATTTACTTGGGTGGGGCAATGAGCTAACCGCAAACTTTTGCTTCTGGTCATTGCTTGCTTTCTACACCGCTGTATGGGGAATTATGGGATGAGGTCAACCAACCCGCCAATTATTTCAAAAGGCAATAGTGGGCAACCAATCATTTTAAAGGTCAACGCATGATCCATGCGTAGTCAGCTTGTGCGCAGCTTGTGCACCGTGGGGATAAAAGGCATGCCGTTGTTCCGGTCGGGGGTCCTTGTCTGCGAGAGTGGCCACTGCGTTGGTGCTCTGGGGCTTGGACCCTGGCTAGCCAGAAAATAAACCTCCTCTTGTGTGATTGCATCCTCGATGTCTCTGCTTTTCTGTCCGGTGGGGCTGTGGAAGGTCGGTCCCTAACAACCTAAGCTTAGGACTTTCTTATTTCCCTCTAACGGACAGATAACTTTTTCTAACATCACTTACTAGCTCATGCATCGTGTTACCACTAATCTAAAATACCACCTTTATTGATTTATCCCTATTTCTGGACTTCCCATTCTGTTGCTTGAGTCTGGTTATTTTCATTCTGGTACTGTACTGTTTTTAAGATTGTGGCTTTAGAACACATTTTAATTGCCAGTAGTGCAATCCTTTTGCTGCTCTGTATTTTCAGAAGTTTCCTGGCTATTCCCTCCGATTTATACTTCAGGAAGCATTTTATGATTATTTAATCACATTAAAGACCCAGTTGGGTGGCTGCCATTGTTGTTATCCTATTACTAACAGTCAGAGGAGCAGGGCCAAAAATGAGTACAAAGCCCCACACTCAGGGTCCTGGTGACTTTCAAAGTCCTGGGACCCCTGGGCTACACACCAAGACATGGGGCGCCACCAGAATCTACCACCCCCTTTTCTGATCAGCCAAACAACTGCATGAGGTGAAATATTCCAAGTTTCAGAATTCCTGGAAGAAACCATACTTCCTAAAGGAAGAACTATCACGTGAGCTACCAATAATCATCAGTTGCCAGGGGATGGGGGAGGGGGATTTAGTTGTTACCTGAAATTACAGTTGTCACCCCTCAGAGCCAGCTTGGGAGGGGCAAAGGGCCTCTGGACTTGTTGGTCACCTCAAAGCGATTTTCATGTTTTGAAATTTCCTTTTAGCCAGTCAACTTCTTCCAAAAACCTACAACGGGGACCACAAGAAAAGAAAACCCAGACAGGTCACTTTGGGGTAAGTACATTTAAAAGTCTCTTATTAGCTGAGGGAGATGATGGCGCTAGTTCATGACTCCTAATCACAGGGAGTAACTCGCGGTGGGCTCACAGTCCCACCCAAGGCCATGTCCCACCTGCACTCACCACCCCTAGAGCCACTTGGTCACCTTTCAGCTCCCTATTAAAGCTATGCTGTAAACACACGAATCTGGCAAGAGATATTTTCTGTGAAGAACAATGCCTTCCGAGTTACTAAAAATGGATTCTTGGAGAAGGAAAGTAATTGTGTATTTATGTCTCTTTCTGGGTCAAGTAATAATAATAGTGAACATTTGCTGAGTGTTACTGTGCGTCAGTCAAGATCCTTAGTGTTTTATGTGGATGAACTCATTTAAACCTGAAAATAACTCTGAGGAAGACACTATTGTTTTCTCCATTTTACAGAAGAGGAGATTGAGGCACAGAGAGGTGAAGAAACTAGCCAAAGTCACACAGCTAAGGGGTGGCAAGCCCCCAGATGCTGCACTCACTGCTAACGACACCACTCAACTTGCTCTCAGGTGATGGCGGCTGCCCGAAGCCAGACAACCAGGGAGAATGGAAAACCACAGAAATCGAGTCTTCAGAAAACATTAAGCTAAACATGACCACCGGCAGGGCCCGCACCTGGAACTAATGGCTGGGGACAGCTAAGATGTCTAAAGCAAACGTCCCTGAACCTCAGGTACACCTCGGCACACAGGAGCTGAGAGAGAAATACTTTCTGAAAGGGGCTCACGTCAGCACAGTGGCAGCGCTGTCCCCACCCCACGTCTTACTGACAAGACCCAGCAGTCTCTGCTCTGCCCGTTTGACACTTGCAGTGGCTTCCACATCTGGCAACAACTGGTTCTGAAAGGCAGAAAAGGACCTCCCCTCCTCCTGATCCATCCCCGCTCTGCTTTGGGGTGCAATTTTACATGGGGGTTTTCCTGACCTTTCTGAAGCAAAAATTCTGGCATTTCACATTTGACTGGCTAATTGTGCAGTCTTTGGAGCATGTATCTCTGCCTTGATCATTATTACAAGGGCCTTCCAGTGAACAGCCATGAATAGAACTGCCTTTGTCCTCCCAACGTCTTCCTCTCTGCAGTGAGATTCAGAAACCCTCACTGTCCGACCCTGCTAACGCCAGGCTGGGCACGCGCAAATAACGCGACCAGGAATTTTGGACATTAGTCCCCGAGCCTCAACTGGTAAGGCGGCAGCAAATGGACGCACAGTGCCTGGGCTCACTACACATAATTCCATCTAAATCTGACTCCCTGTGTAGGTCACACGCTATCCTCCCAGGCCCCAAATTAGCAACCAGGAATCCACCCTGGGCTTCCTTCCTCTCTCCCTCCCACAGCCCACAGCCCCCACACAGCCCTCTGAGGGACGGGCCCAGCCACTTCCCTCCGACTCCTTGTCACTGCCTGTGTTCAGGCTGCTGTCCTTCCCCACAGGGAACAGAGACAGGACACCCCCTTGCTCAGGACACTTCAGGCCTTCCAGACAGAACCCCAAACTCCCCAGCAGGAAACATCAGGCCTCGCTTAGTCTCTAGCACGCCCCTCCTACCCACTGCCCAAGGCTCCAGTCAGACCCATGTTTGCAGCTGTGGCTCCCTTCAGCCAGCCTGTCACCTGGTGAACTCCCACTTTCCTTTTTTGTGCCTTCAGGCGCCACCTCCTCGAGAAGCCTTCAGAGCTGCGTCCTGCCTCCCTTGGTCTCCCCAGGAGCTGCTCCTGCCCGGCTCCCCGCAGGCCTTGAGATGTTGAGGCTGTTTGTCACTAGGGTGACCACCTCTTCTGTTTGCCCAGGACCTTCCCATTTTAGCGCTGAAAGTCCGACATCCCGGGAAACCCCTCTGTCCCAGACAAACTCAGATGGTTGGTCATCTGGTTCCTACTGTTGTATACTCATCGTAAGCCGACGCAGGCAGGATGGAGGAAATAAAGACTAGAATCTTAGAGCCACAGAACGAGACTGACCAGGAGGAGGGAGAGGGAACAACGGCATTTCCACTGGATGAGTTTACTTTTCACGATAACCTATCCATTCGTTGTGATCACGATCCCAATTTTCCAAGTCAGGAACCAAGCACTGAAGAGACAAAGTTATCTTGCTTAAAAGGGCACAGCTAGCAAGTGGGGGTGAAGCCCAGGTGCGTGTGGCTTTACTGCTGGTGCTTCTAACTATCACACTGCTGCCAATCCTGCCTCCAAAAACCACTCCCCAAAGCAAATACTGAGACAAAAGCAAAACAAACAAACAAGCTCCTGGGGAAAGATTGAGGGGAAATTGTAAGAAGAAATCCTGGCTCAGGAAAGCTACAGGAACTGAGCAAACAAGTTTTCTCCGAGCTTCCTGGCACCCAGGGCAGAAAGGGAAATGCTCAGTCTCCACTGTGAAGACCAGGAAGTATATCAATTAGTTGACATGACAGCGCTGAGCAAGGAGAGGTGTCTGTGGGGAGCTTCTCTCTACGGGACCTGAGTAATGCTGTGCTGAATGGCTCTGGGGAAACAGCTTTGTAAAAGAACAGATGGTGTCCCCCTATTTAAAATGGGGTCCCAGTGAAGGCCTGCCTCTCGCCTTCTCCACAATGTCACCTCACTGTTACAGCTGGATGCAGTTCTGTTAAGACACTTTGCAAAGCCCCAGATGTCACTCTGGTGGCAGCTTTCAACGATGTGGCTTAACAACAGGGTACAGCTTAGGAAAATGCGGACAACAGTGAGCCGGCATCCCTGACTGCCCTGTCTGGTAGCTGTGTGCTTACTGATCTACTCCACACACACCCCACCTCCCCAGTAGGGGCCCCTGTGTTGCCACCTCGGCACGCCCACAACCTGTGTGGAGCTGGCCAGACGTGCCACTTTCCTTCCCTCCCCAGAGAACCGTTGCAGCCGGCCCCGAGCCCCGTTCTCCACTACGTGGCACTTGCCTCGGTGTCTGCCGAGGGAACGAATGTCGAGTTGCTCTGGTCTGTTCCGATGGTGCTGGCCATGGAGGGCCTGGGGGACTTAAAGCAGGGTCACTCTGACAGCCTGCAGGGAGTTTAGTTGTCTTGCTTTGCAATAGATGGATTTAAAGAACCTTTACCAGGTGAGCCCAGATGCCCTTAACTCAGAGTAACAGGTGTTTTCGCCAAGATCATTCAACAAACATTTCTCTAGCTCCTAGCTGAAGCCATAATGGGGACACAGGGAGAAATCAGCAGTCCTTACATTAAAGATGCCTTCGATCTAGTTGGAGAGACAAGTGTTTTAATAAACACGCGACAGCATGACCAATGCAACACGCAGGGCCACGCTTACAGTTGCACAAGCAGTGCACTGCCCCACTCCAGGGGGTGGCTGTGTGCTTGTAAGTGGCAGAGATTTGTTGAGCCATGATGACAAATTTCCAGCAGGTGGCAGCCAAGTGTCTTGAGGAAGGAGTGCTTTCTTTCTAGCTGTGGAGCATAAATAAGGCACATGAGCGGAACAGAGGAGAAAATGATGAGCTTAGTGGCTGCGGGGTGCGCATGTGTGCAGTGGGGTGTGGGTGATGGGAGGAGAAGGGACCAGGGAGGAGGTGAGACCTGTATGGGCTGTTGCCAGGTGTTTGCCAGGTGGCTGGGCAGTAGGTGCAGAAGCACTTAAGCCTCAAAGTTGGGGGGGGGGAGAGTCGTCAGGGCCGGGGGGAGGGAACCCACTGGTGGCACTCATGTACTACCCTCACTGGTAGCTCAAGGTGCTCGGGGACCCTGAAATCAAACATAAACCAGAGACTGCATTTGGAACTATGGGCCTTTAACGGTCAGTTGGAGGGATCTCACAAGGGAGAGGATTTGTGAATCTGGGGCATGGTGTGAGTCAAAGCAAGTCCAGCCTGTGTGGAAGAGGCCCCAGGACTGTCGTTGGAGGACAGTCCCCAGAACTCCAGTCTCGGACAGCCACCGAGGGTTAGTAGAGGGTCTCTGAGGTCTGATACAGAGTCACAAACCAGGGCTGGCCTGTAAATTCCCCCAGGGTGTGCACCTAGCCCAGCACAGGCACTCAGTAACGGATGCCCTTCACCCTGTGCCAAGCCTATCACTGAGGCATAGGAATGAGGACAGGCTGCTGCCCGGCTGGGCATTCTGGGAGGACTCCTGGTCCCACAGGTGGACGTGCAGACCACCGACGAGATGGTTTGGGAACTGGCCTAACTCCAACTGACAGCTGAGCAGCTGCCCAGATTGAGGTGGACCAGGATGTGGAGGCAGAGCGAACAGAATGGAGACAACTGAAGCGTCTGAGTGGGCAGGAAGATCAAGGAGATTACTCTTTTGCCAGGTTTGATAAAAAAGACTGCAGAATGACTTAGACTCTCAGGAACCACCAATTCCCCTTAAAATATTTATGAACCATCTGAAAAGGGAACTGCTACTACTGAGTACTTTTAATGTTCTAGACCCTTCATTGAGTAGTGGTTAAGAGCATGCTCTTGGCCAGGCGTGGTGGCTCACGCCTGTAATCCTAGCACTCTGGGAGGCTGAGGCGGGAGGATTGTTTGAGTTCAGGAGTTCAAGACCAGCCTGAGCAAGAGCAAGACCCTGTCTCTACTATAAATAGAAAGAAATTAGCCAAACAACTAAAAACAGAAAAAATTAGCTGAGCATGGTGGCGCATGCCTGTAGTCCCAGCTACTTGGGAGGCTGAGGCAGGAGGATCCCTTAAACCCAAGAGTTTGAGGTCACTTTGAGCTAGGTTGATGCCACAGCACTCTAGCCCAGGCAACAGAATGAGACTCTGTCTCAAAAAAAAAGAGCATGTTCTCTGATGGAACACAGTGGTCAGGTTTCACACCCTGCCCCACCATGCATTAGTGCCTGGGTTCCAATCTTAGGTCCAACATATACCATCTGTGTGACACTGGGTATGACACTTGGTCTCTGTGTGTCATGGTCTCCTGACC